GCCATTTTTAAAAGGGGGAGCTTAGCTGTGACTGGAGAGTCTTGAAAGTAGTGAAATTTTCATGTTAAATGTGAAGAATTCAGATGTATTATTTGGACCAACCTAGACATGCAAATTGAACGTGGGCATTAATTAAATGTGTGGGACCTGTAGCTCTCTGAACATGGTGTTTCTTAGTAAGTTTAATTAATGTAACAACAGGGATTCTCTATTCCTTGTTCAGGAAGTACCGGTGGATTAGGAGCAGAGATGATAGGCAAATGAGAGGTTTCATTTTTCCCTGTGGCCATGTTGGCCAGGTGGAATTGGTTGAAGTCACTGCATGATGGAATCAAGTGGGGCTTAATCATCCTCTGCCTCTCAAGGGGGTGGAGGATGGCGGCTGACAGAAACCAGAGGATGGGTCCGGACCAGGAAGTATCCCACACAGAGAAGCAAGGCTAGAAATAGAAAGCATGTGCTTATGTCTTTTTACTGTGGGAGAAAGAAAGAGATTGAGACTTACATGAGGAATGAGAAAGGGCTGAATGTTTACTGTCATTAATTCTAATACTTCGAGATATGTTCTTATGGGTGAATGAGACACTTACACAAAAAGAATATATAGGGAAGGAAAAGAAATTAAGGATCTTGACTGTCCACAAAAGTAGAAAGTCCCTGATAAATGGAGAACTGATTGTAGTTCAAAAATCAAAGAATGTTGTTAGAGTGATGTAAATTAACATGAGGTTACCATTTAGAATGGCTTGCACATTGCAGATTCTTGGAAACCAACACTGTGTTGTGTTGTTTACTTAATACTGCTATTTCAAGCTGGTGAGAAATTAAGTAAAATATGAAAGTGATGAATGAAGAGGATTTTTATTTTAATTAATTAATTGATTGATTTTTATTTTACACTTTTCTTGAGATTAAAGCCAGATACATGATACTGGTAGAAAAACACCTTGGTTTTAAAAATGCCATGGATTTTGTGGATGCACATTTTGTAGTCTTTTTCTATAAGCTTCCTTTGACTGGAGGAGAAAAAGATCCAAAGAAAGTGTGGTTACTTTACAATGTGGAAAATTGGGTGGTGGTGTGCTTAGGAATTTAGGGGTAAAAGCTGCTAAAACGCCTTTGCATGAGTTCATCTGACTCCCCCACCCACCCTTTTGGCAGTGTGTTCTAACCAACTGCTGCACAGCAAGAGTCCAGCAGCTGGTTTGAATTAGATTCCCTCTGCCAAATATTTCATAATCAAATCTATAGGAAAAATTCTCCTAGGCTTTTTATTTTTTAATGTCTGACTTGGGATTAGCAATCAAACTGAATATGGAAGAATACATACACCCTGTTACTTTGCCCATGCTCTTACTTGAATCCTATGTGAAGTAATTTCAAAACTTACTTAACTCTTGCTGAGATCACTTATGTTTAATTGGCATGTTGGTTTTATGGGAATCAGCCCAATGAGGTGGTCTTCAAAGTATACTTCTACGGACCTCTGGGGATCCCCTTTCAGGGGGTCTGCGAGTTCAAACTTGTTTTCATAGTAATACTAAGATAACTTATGAGATAAAATGGGAATTACAGAGCATGTCTGTTGCATACTAAGTGTGATTGTCTCCAAGAAAAGGACCTGTGTTTGGGTTGTAAGCTGAGCTGTTTTTTTTTCATGTAACACCAGTTTTTACTTGGAAAAAACAACTGTCTAACAAACTATAGTCAGTCAGACTTGGGTATTTGCCAGACATCTTTTCTAAAATGACCAAAATGAATTTGTTATTTAAGGAAAACACTGATAGTATTTGTTGCCAATTATAAAATTCTAGCTTTCAAACAAAAATTAGAATCCTAGAAAACTTGCATGCGTTGCTGTGAGCTTGACAGCTTCCCAATACTTAAAGACTTTTCAAATGAGATCAGTGGTGTGGTGATACTAGAAAATGTGACTTTTTGATATTGTATAATGGAAAACTTTTAACATTTGGAAAATCTGTATAACTGAGTGAAAAAATATCTTCCAAATGACCGATGCATAATGTAACAGTATCATGCATGGGTAAAAAGGATCCATTCAGAGTGCTAGACCAGTGGATTGTTAATGAGATAGGAAATGAAAACTTAATCGATAAAGTTTCAGATCCTACATTGCCACTAACTTTTAAGAAGCCATTTGTTGAGTTTGGCTCAGTGGGCAGAAGGATATCCACAATCACCTGCAAAGGTCATTAAAGTACTCCTTTTGCAATCACATGCCTCTGTGAGGCTGGATAGTCCTCACATACTACAACTAACTGCAGCAGAATGCAGAAGCAGATAGGAGAATTCAGCTCCCTTTTATTAAAGAAGTACACAAAATATGTAAAACACTGCCTCTCTTCATATTAATTTTTTTGCTTGGGAAAGTATTATAATAAAAATGAGTTATATTAGCTCATGACAAGTTTATTTTTATTTTTAAATGACTTCACAAATAAATAATTTTAATTTCTCAGTTTTAATTTCTAATTATAGTAAGTATTAATAAGTATAACCCATATAAACAGCAGTTTTTTGGAGCACTCAGTAGTTTTTAGGAGCATAGGAGAGTCTTCAGGCCAAAATGTTGGCAAGCCATTAGTTTAGTGCTTCCTAACTGTGGCTACACATGCGAATCATCTGGAGAACTTTTAATAAAATAAGGTTGCCTGGGACCCACCCTAGACAAGTTAAATCTGAATCTTTGAGGATGTGAGGCAGATATCAATAATTTTTAAGGGCTGTATACTAGGTGATTCCAGTGTACAGCCAAGCTTGAGAACTACAGTTATTGGCTTAACCTGGTAGGTTAGAAGAGATTGCCTTTTCCTTGAGAGAAACACCTTGCCTTTCATCTGAATCTAGAGTGGCTCCTGACAACTAGAGGAAATGTCAAGGAGCTTCCATTTGCTCTTTTATGTCTTCTTGCCCCGGTTACGATTATTAGAGGAGTGAAGGAAGGAGCTAGCAAATTTGTGGAAAACTGTTCTAGGTATATAGCCTACAGTGAAACTAAGAACAAGCCATTTTGTTTATTTCTCTTTGGTGTACATTCCTCACCCAAGTTTTTAAAAGCCCTATGTAGAAAATGGTGTCTGTTAACTGATTCCCTGTGAGGTAGTATGTTTGTTCTGTAATACTGACGTACTTAGAACTTGGTAAATATAGGAAAAATATTTTTGGAAGAAGTGAATAAACTAAACTATATTAAATTGCAGTCATGAATCAAATTGTTGAATAGTTTAATGACCTTAAGGAAAGTTGCTTTCTTAGGATTTTTCCACATGTATACTTCACTGTTATTTTTTTTTAGCAGTTCTATTGAGATAAAACTCACATACTACACAATTCACCCATTTGAAGTGTAAAACTCAATTGTTTAAGGTCCACAGAGTCATGCAGTCATCACCATGATCGGTATTAGTACACTTTCATCACCCAAAAAGAAACTCTTTACCCCGTAGTAGTCATTCCTCATTTCCCTCTCCCCAACCCTGAGCAACCACAAATCTACTTTCTATCTCTGTACATTTACCTAGTCTGGACATGTTGTATAGATGTAATCATACCTTATGTAGCCTTTTATGTCTGGCTTCTTTCACTTAGGGTAGTGTTTTCAAGGTTCATCCTTACTGTGGCATTTGTCACAACTTCATTCCTTTTTATGGCTTAATATTATTCCATTATGTGGATATACCATATTCATCATTGATGGTCATTTGGATTATTTCCATTTTTTGACTGTTATGAATAATGCTGCTATAACTTCCATGTACAAATTTTTATGTGGACATATCTTTTGGAGCTTGGGGGGCATATATCTAGGAACAGAATTGTGCTGGGTCATATGGAACTCTGTTTAGCCTTTGTGAGGAACTACCAGGCTATTTGTACAGTGGGCCACATCATTTTAAACTCTCACCAGCAGTCTATGAGGGTTGCATTTTCTCTGCATTCTTGTGGTTTTGTGTTGTGTTTCTCTAATAGCAAATGATGTTGAGCATTTTTTCATGAACTCTCATACATTGCTGGAGTGAACATAAAATGGTATAGCTACTTTGGAAGACAGTTTGCAGGTTTTACAAACATACTCTTAGCATATGATCTAGCAATCTTGCTCCTTGGTTTACCCAAAGGAGTTAAAACTAATGTCCACACAAAAACCTGCACACTGATGTTCATAGCAGCTTTATTCATGATTGCCAAAACTTGGAAGCAACGAAGATATCTTTCAGTAGGTGAATGAATAAATAAGCAGTGGTACATCCATATGATAGAATATCATTGGGCGCTAAAAGAAATGAGCTATTAAGCCAATACAAGACATAGAGGATCCTTAACTGCATATTACTAAGTGAATGAAGCCAGTCTGACAAGGCTTATTCTGCATGATTCCAACATCTGGAAAAGGCTAAACTATGGAGACAAAAATTGGTGGTTGCTGGGGGGGGGAAGGATGAGCTGGCAGTAAATGGAGAATTTTTAGGGCAGTGAAAATACTCTGTATGGTATTATAATGTTGGATATTATACATTTGTCCAAACCTATAGAATATGCAACACCAAGAGTGAACCCAAAAGTGAACTATGGTTTGGGTGACTATGATGCATTAATGTTCATCCTTGGTAAAAAACAAAAAAAAGTACCATTTTGGTGAATGATGTTGATAATGGGGGAGGCTCTGCATGAGAGGAGGCTTCCTATTTCCTAATCAAAATTGAATTTTTTTTGAGATGCATAATTTCTTGGGAGCATAAAGAAGTCAGGGGAAATTGGGGTCTTGGCCCATTTAGCCCAGTGTTCTGCGTGTGACACCAGGAATCACTGTATGAGAAAACAGATGGTATCTACTTGAAAGATTATAGTCTTGCTTTGAAATGTACATACCCAAAAACTGCTGTTGAATTTTATAAATTTCTGCTTATCAATCAGCATAAATTATGACATTTTCCTCTGACAATGCATTAATTACTTTTGGTCTTTGTGTGTGGGCCTAGGTTGGTTCATTCTGGCTCCGGATGCCGGTCACCCTCACTCGGATCTGACCTTACATTTGCTACCAGAACTGGCTCTCGGCAGGGCATCGAGATGCATCTCTTCAGGGTGGAGACACATCGGGATCTGTCAGCTTGGACCAGGACACTTGTTCAGGGTTGCCATGCTGCTGCCGAGCTGGTCAAGGAAGTCTCTCTAGGTATAGTTTCTGGCATTTCATTTCTAATAGTAATTAGATGGAGCTGTTGTACTTTATTTTAAAGTAAAAGCCATTATCATGTATGCGGACTTCAAATGTAAAATATCGCAGCTTAAAGTGGTCATGACAGAAAGAAACCTGGTTTTTCAGTGTCAGTAGCAAAGTTTTCCTAAGCGTTGTATGTGGCTCTGAACACGCTCCTAACACTCGATGTACAGCATGGCAGTTTCACTGTTCATCATTTTTTTAATCTATATTTGATAGTGTAAGGACTCATTTACTAAGTAGGTAAATGTATTAATTTCCTAGTTATGAAGATGTAGAGTATAAGATATGGGTAGACACCCTTAAATATGAGCATCTGGCAAAGCTTATGGCTCTAGAAAAGTAAAGAATTTGGAATAGCAGTTTTTCTCAAAAGTCTGAAAGTGTGTGCCCAATACTTACTGAAACAGTCACGGGAGGGAAATGAGCCCTGTGGTCTCATGCCATTGTTATAGCGCCCTCTTATGGCCAGACGATACGGATTTAGGGATATGGTTTCTTATGTACATATTTGTGTATAGGTATCTCCAGATTGCTTTTCACTTTAACAAGAACAAAGAATAGTCAAAATGAAGACACAATTACAGTTTCTAATGTGGTTTGAATTACTTTGGATATCTTGGCTACAGGTTGGTTTACTTAATTTTGCTCCTGTTTTCTACGTATTTTATTTTATAAATCTAGTTTCACAGAATTTATGTAAAAAGAGAAAATATTTTAAAAGCAGTGATCTGTCTTTCCATTGCTTTTGGGAGTGAGGGATCACCATGGCTTTAGAACTTCATGGGCAGTGTTTCCATGGGTCATTTTCTAACACGGACAGTTTCTTTAATGTTGTCAAAGCGCTACAATTCTTCAGCTGTTAAGGACCTGCTTGAGATTTTTTTCATGACCACAGTGATGACTCAGGCAATGACGCCAATAACTAGTAAGACCCCTCCTTGGATTTGGACAAAAGCTGCCACCTCCACATTGTCTTTCTTATTTGTCTGTCTCCCACCCTTTTTTTTCTATGCAGTGGTTGATTAAGTGCATAGGGCTCTAGTTTTTGTCTTGGCTACAGAATATGCTCTCTGGGATGGGTAAGTCTTCCATGTGAAGGTCTGCAATGCTCTGTGTTCTCTGGGGAGCCCAACGTGTCAGGCCAGCACACTCATCAGTCCCCTCACTGGCATTGGAGTCACATCTTCTTTGAGGATCCAGAGATGTATGCTTCCCAAAACAGAGCGCAACTTGAATTTTTAACATTTTTTAGTTTTGTATTGTTTCTTTGGTGGCTGGCAGCTAAACTTCACATTGCAGGAAATCAAAATTTATCCAGTCCCTGGCTCACAGTTGTTGAAATACAGATGGCTTAAGGAGAGAGAGATTAAGGACCAGCTGGTTCCTTATATTTTTAAATAGACAAAAGAAACTTTTTTTGGTAATTTTGAAATTTGTTGTTCTCATTTGCAGCTGTATTCTAATACTACCAGAAATACTTTCATTTCTATAATTCTATAATTCAGGTCAACTGATGTACTTAATAACCATCTGTATTTAGAGCTGTGCCAGATATATTAAACTGGCTGAAGGTAAACTGCTTTGAAAAGAGCTAGCAGAATTCCTTTTAAAATATGTTTGCGTATGTACATGTGCTGTGCATATGTGTACTATGCATGTGTGTACCTTGTTTGTTACATCTTCATATGTGTATGCTTAGTGTGCACATGCACTTAAACATGTGTACACACATATATACAGAAACCAGCATGCCCTTCAGTTGCATGTCAATTTAATATTAACCTTCTGTTAAATTGTTGGGAGATTCAGAAAAGTTTATTTAAAACTATAATTATGGCAAATTTTCCTACATGTTCAGATAATTGTGACCTAAAGAAAGGAAGTTAACAGAAGGAAATCAGTTAAGCTCTGTTTATTGTCTCTTATGTGTTTTGGTTATAGTTTACCCATTTAGAAAAACTTCAGTGCCCACCTACAAGATTTGAGTAGTGAATGCAATATATGACCTTCATAATGTTCATTTAGTTTTAAACCTTTATAGATATAAAGGTTTTTCCTGTAACTATATCCTGTAATGATAGTTATAGTAGAATTGATCAGTGATCCTTCCAGTACACAAGGACTTTTTTCCTTCTGGCAAGTATGAACTTAATTAAAACATGTTAGGAGGAAGTAGAAACCTGAATAAAATTGTAATTTTGGCTATAAAGAAAGAATAGAGAAAAAGAAGCTGGTTAGACAACCAGCAGTGGGTACTACAAATATCAAGTAAGACAAGGGCCTGCTTCTTCAGCCAGATCACATTCAGCAACATGGATGTAATTGGTGCCCTTAGAGATGTTGAGGGTGTAATGCCAGTGACAGATTGCAGAGGGCTGAGGATTGATTGGGAGGTGAAAAATAGATAAATGGGGTATACATAGATTTTAAGAAGTTTTGCTGTGAAGAGGAGGAGAAAGGGGAGTGGTAGAAAGAAGAAGGTTAGGGAATTGAGTAGTGACATATCTTTTAGCAATGAGAGAGACTTGAACATTTAAAAAAAACTTAATGGGCGGGATATGGTTTAGAGGGTGATGTTGAAAATGCAAGAGGAAGAAGAAAGAATAAACCTTGAACAGTTCTTGAGAAAGTGGAAGTGAATGGGATCCAGAGTACAGGTGGGAGGATTGGCCTTTTCCTGGAGAGGGACAGAGGGGAGATGAGAGGATGGGTGTGGATGTATATCTTAGCTCCTGAAATGGGCATTGCCTTTTACTCCTGAGTAATTTGTTCTGCAGATATCCATGGCTTTTACTCCATCCCTAACTCCCCAAGTGCAATTACAGACTCCTTGTATATTGTTTGAATATTTAGAGTTATATCATATTTGTGTAACAGGAAAAACTTTATGTATTTATATATATATATATAATCTATATATATATATATTTTTTCCTAAGGATCCATAAGTCCCATATACCACAACCAGTCCCATATATCACTACAAAGAATTTTACAATATATTACTGAGAGGCTAGGAGAAATATTAGAAATTGGTTTGAAGATTTCCTGTGAAGTCTAGGGCTAAAAATAATGGATTATGCTGGGGCCCAAATATTGTCCCTCTTGTCCAAATCTAAGTGTTTTATATTTACCCAATTGTGGTTAGTATAATCATCAGAAATTGTATCAAAAAACAGGTATTAATGTTCTAGGTCAGTGGTTCTCAACCTCAACTGCACCATGGAATAGCCTAGAGAGCTTTTTAATATTGACCCAAGTTCTACCTCCATAGATTTAAAAGTCAGTTGACTAGGGCATTAAAAGGTCCACAGATTATAAGCACCTTTAAGGGGTTAAGAATCACTACTCTAGATTATCAAAAGAAAAACAGAAAAGTTTATATTATTAAGCAGTTGAAACTATTTATTAGTTAAAAATAAATGAACATATACAACTCTGAATATACTAAAAACCATTGAGTTCCATACTTGAAATGAGTGAATTGTAGGGTATGTGAATTATATATTAATACAGTTATTAAAAAAATAAATGAGTATAATAATTGGAACCTTAAAGGTGATGTCAGAGAGTACAGGGAGGTTCTCATCAGAGAACTTTATTTAGAACAATTAATTTGGATGAGTACATGTGTGAATCAGGATTCCTGGTTTTCTGAGGTTGGTCTGCACATAGGCCTTGCCCCCTACTGTCTCTCACCCCATCCTAACTACCACCTTGCCCCTGATCCCTACTCCTGGTTGTGGGTGGGTTCTGATGCAGGTCTCAGGGATGAGTGAATCTTAGAGAAGAGATGAGGATGTCTGTTTTGCATTTTATTTGGTAATAAAAAATTCCAAAAAAACCCCTGCAAGTTTATTATTTTAATGTTTAGATTAATTAAAATGTCATGAATTCTGGTGTATATTACACACTCAACAAGGCAGCCACTATTGTACCTTTTATTATTATCTAAGACTAAGGGAAATAGCACCAAGCCTTTTCCAATTCCCCAGAGTCACTCCCGGCCTCCAGCCTCCCCCACTGTTGTCCATCTCTCCAGGATAGCTCTTACTTCATTCTGCTGTATCCACATTTCCTCTCTTCTCACAGGCGTCTCAACAGGAACCATCTTTTTTTCAGCTCTGTATCTACCGGCACTTAACACAGTGTCTGGCCCATAGTAAGTGCTCAGAACAATTTTTTTTCCAGCATAGATTGGTTACAATTACCTGTCTGTCTTCCCTACTGCCCTTTGCCAGCAGAGAGCTTTAAAATGTGAATACATGAATTAATGAACAAACAAACCAACAAACTAAGACGTAATTCACAATTCCACCAAACAGTTAGTTTTTGTGGGTGTTTCTGATTATTCTGGGTCCAGGCTTACAGAGTTGCTTCTCCATCTTCAGCTCTGCCCACCATCAACCACATTGTATCCTACAAAAAGGGCACAAAGCACCTCTGCTGAGTGCTGAGTGCTTATCTCCCTCTGAAAAACTGGTTGTTTTCTCTCTTTTAAACTTCAATGATTTGATGTCCTGTGATTGTCCTTGAATGCTGTTGTGTTTCTTTTTTATATTTCTGATAACAACTCTGTTAATCCAAATCAGTATGTTGAATTCTTTACTGACTTGCCTATAAACTGAGGTGGACCGTGGATTTATAGCCATCCAAAAGGATTTTAGTTGAATTAAGACATCAGGATGTTGCAATAAGCCACCTGGAGCAGCTCAGAGCTTTGCTACTAAACCCCATCCTGTCCTATCAGAACAGGGCCACGGACACAAATATTCACACACACACTCAACAAGTCAGTCAGAGGTTTAGTCCTCTTTGGTTCATTACTCCTGAGACCGTCTGAGGATGAGCGGTATCAGGTACTTAATCACCATTGCCCCAACTGTTCTTAATCTACAGTTTAGGGAGAAACCATTTAACTAAGACTATTAGGCACATTTTTATGGCTAGTTCATACTGTTATTCAAATTTATCTGGTATTAATTACAAGTTTTAAACTAAAACTCAATTCTAAAGCTACACATTTTCAGTATGACCTTTACTTCTCCTTTTCAAGATTAAGATATTCATAAACAGTATTCTGGTTTTTTAAGTAACACACACAGACACACTGGATATTTGCCTTCCTTTCCTTCCCTTCTGGGAAACAATCCTAAACAGCGTATTTGAGAAATTTCTAATATGAGAAGCTTGCTGGGTTAAGGGCCTGCCTTTGCTCGCTGCAATTGTCTGATCTTTGCCCAGGAGAGACATACCTGCAGGCAAAAATACTCACTCTCCTGCACTGCACTTTCTCCAGCTGGTGCTGCAAGGACACGGGTGGATCCTTATTCTTTCTGCTTTTCGTTTCAAGACTAGAACTGACCCTTCTCTTCTCATCAGACAGACTGCAGTACCCTTGACTCTGCTATAGCTTCAGGGATATCAATAGAATAAAATTCTCTTGAAAACTATACTCTGGTTGGTCTGATTGGGATCCCTGTGTTCTTCCTCCAATCTTCTCGCCATTCAGTTTAGAGGTTACTTCTACAGGGTGATCCATCTTATCCATTTTTCCCCACAGGGCTCCTTTTTTGAGGATAACTAATATTCAAAGTCCATTGTCCAAACTCTCTTCTTTGAGGAGTACTGAGAAGGAGGATACTGCCAATATTTATCTATTATTATTCCTCATTTCCTCAACATACTGGCTGCCTTGACTAATTGAATGTTTTTGCACGTCCAGTGAAAGAATGCATTGATTGACCTGGGTACAGGGACTTGCTTGTTTTGGAGCCATTCTTTCTGTTTAAAGTCACCAATCATAGCTTGACTGTGATCCTTCAGGTGATTTTAAGTTCAGCGCTCAGAAGGCCTCTCACTTGTAGCCTCTACTAACAACAAAACTGTTCAAACATTAGTGAAACAGGCGCCACCAGTCTTGACAGAACAACACAGATGTAGCCTTTGAATTTTATCTTTCATAGGATGGATGGTATGACTTTCTCTAACTGTAGCCTTTATCTGTGATAAACATTTCTTTATCCTCTTCCCAAATACCAACCAAACCACGTTACTGCCCCTGAAAGGCAACTCTGCCTTTTCTTCTGTGGTTGTTCCTTTTCTTGCCCTCTTGAAACCTTCTTCCTATTCCTTACTGCCTATCTAGTTTGACCGATTCTGTAGGGCCGATCTGAAGGCCCATCTCCTCCAGGAAATCTTTCCTTGACTTTGGCCTGAATCAGTGGTGTTCATTCATATTCTGTACCTTCTATCTTTTGCAATTGGGATGTCATGTTTATGCCTATTCATTTTTGAGGTCCTTACGAGCAGGGACCATGCCTCTTACTTCTCCAGGACCACCTGCAGCCTACTGTCAGCACAAGTGCTCAGTTGACACTCACAGGATTGAACTGAGTCAGATCAGATGTCAGGGAGAGTTTTAGTAATTTCTTCCTCATCTCAGTCAAGATGTTAGCTTGAGTGACCAAAACAAAACTCACTTTAGGAGGTTCCAATTAGGTTAGGTATCACACATTCTCAAGAAAAGATTATCTTCCCTTTCTTGAAGTCAGAAGAATCCTTTTCCACTTGATAATCGAAGTAGGAACATTATTAATGATTTTTTTTTTGCTTGTCTTTAACAGGCTGCACATTAAATGGCCAAGAGGTAAGACTCACTGTCCACTATGAAAATGGGTTCACTATCACCAGGGAAAATGGAGGCTCCAGCAGCATGCTGTACCGCTACCCCTTTGAAAGGCTGAAAATGTCTGCTGATGATGGCATCAGAAATCTATATCTGGATTTTGGTGGTCCTGAGGGAGAATTGGTAAGAGTGTTTCTGAAAAACATGTTTATTTTAATAGGTATTCTCTTTCTTTTTCATTGTGTTTACTTCTTGTACAGAAAATATACTGATACTCCATTTGGAGCCAGGAAATTGTTCAGATCTCAAGATGCACTGGGTTTAGGTTTGGGTGTTTTGTTTTTTTTTCCTTTCCCCATTTTAGGAAATCATTCCCTTTTTTTAAAAGTTTTGTTTGAAGGTTAGAAAAAAACAGCCTTTTAAAGGAACAGACTTTTATCAAATTGAAGATTTAAAATGTAAAAGCTGGCAAACTTTAATAAGCAAATTCCACCTGTTATTATCAGCTCTTTGTTGGGATAAGAGTTAAAAGTAATAGTGACTTGGTTGCTACAGAGATTCTTCTGACCAGAAAAAAAGATGCAGATATGTGTCCACACAGCTATCATCTTTTTGACTTCTTTGTCTTTTAAAAGAAATATCAATAGGAATTCATGATTCCTCTCAGAGAACGAGGGAAGTGTGTTGAGAATACTTCAGAAATCATAAATCATGATAGAAGAGTGAAGTAATGCTTCATCCATATTGAGCCACTGGTACAAGTCTTATCACATGTGAACTCTTAAGTCTGTTGATACAGTCACAGTAAGGGTAAATTTGGAAAACAATCTTGGAATTTTAGAACTGAAGGAGATCTTAGAACTAATGTAGAAAAATGAGAAATTGTGGCTAGAAATCTTATTTTAAATCATGAACATTTAGGATACTATGGATAAGCTATGGACCAGGACTTTTCAAAAGCCTGAAGCATTAGAATTAAATGCTTTTGTTAGATAAAGTTTATTAAATGAGCCAGTTATTAATAGCAGTTGCCATTTAGCAAGCCAGATGTTAGATTATTCCACTTATTTATATATTTTTAATCCTCACTTTGTATTTTATATGTATAAAGTTTAGTGATGGAAGTAGTACTTTATAATTTATATTTTTAATAGTTATATTTTCCTTTAAAAGGCATAGTCACCTAAGCTATGCCCTGTTCCTCGTCTTCTCTTATCAGTGCCATCTATTGACAGACCAGTTGACTCATGAATCCCGAGCCCAGATATCCTGTTGACCTGGTATCAGCTGTCCAAATTAGAGGCCTGTGCTTATCAAGATATAATCAGCCCTCCTGACTAGCCTTACTGATAAAGGGTGTCAAAAATCATACCCATAGGTGGTCACACTTCAGCTGATTTACTGTGGTTACCCCTGGGAAATATAATTACAATTAATTGTCTCCATATAGGATATTCCTCTCCTGAATCCTCTACTTTTTAGTTCTTCCTACCAAACCTGGTGGAATGTAGTACACCACCAATTGTATCCTAATAGTCAGTGTGAAACCTCACATGTAGAGTAACCTTACTTCAGAGTACATGTTCATCTGTGGCTTTAAGTTCTCAAGAGTGTCCATAAATCTGGCACATTCTTTATCCAAGTTCTTTATAAGAAGTAGAACATCATGTCCAAATGTGTTTATCTTTGGTGTTTGTTCATTAAACCATCTGTATATGGTAGTGATAATGAATGTCCTTTCTCCACAGACCATGGACCTGCACTCTTGCCCAAAGCCGATTGTATTTGTGTTGCACGCATTCTTGTCAGCCAAAGTCACTCGAATGGGGCTGCTTGTCTGAGCAGCAAAAAATCAGAAAAGAGCCTTGAATGTCACAAGAAGCATTTCCACCTCACAAAAAAAAATTAATAAGCACAAAAAGAAAGCTCTTTGCTCTCTCCTCCAGCACAGTGCCTTGACAAGGACCTGCAAATCACTGCTGAACGGTAACCGTGTTTAAAGAAGAGCCTCCTTTTCACAAGCTACTTTGGCCAGAAATTCTAGGACTCTAATAAGCTCCGAAATGAAGCTGTTGATTTATTGGCTTGTTTCCTCATGCGGTTTCTAAGTAATTAGGTTTATTTCCCCTGTTAAGAAGATGTCTCATCGTTTTTTCTTTTTGGACATTATCAAATATCCAGTTGTTTTCTTTTTCTTCTTTCTATAGGGTTTGTTGGAGGCTTAACCTTGATCTCTTGCTTAGGACAATTGTCTCTTGCCAGTTTGTAGCAGCCTGTGCTTCCTGTTCGTTCCAGATGGCTCATACGTTTTGTCGGAGTTTGCTGTCCTCACTTGCTCTTTCCCCCCTGGGGAGTCCTCGGACTGTATTACCAAAGCAGTCTCCCATCTGTCCTGGCTCCGCCCCGCATCCCACCCTGGCTGTCACGCCCACTGCATCACAGGCTTTGCCACTCAGAAGTGCTGACTTTAGGACTTAGAACCTGCACAGTTTGATTTGCCTTGTCTTCTCCCTTTCTCGTGGTGACCAAATTGAAAAGCAAGTTGGAAACCACTGCATTGAAAGACAAGTTTTGCTTGTTTCAGGTTTTTCTGATTTTTATCTATGGTAGGAGCCAGGGGATGTTAAAAGATTTATTTTAAAAGAAAATCCTCATTTTAGCCTCAGCCATTTTTATTGCTTACCAAATGTGCCTTTGATCAGGGTTAATGGAGCTTTATTAGTCACTATTTGAATAACTGGATATCACTGCCATTACAGGGAGATCATCTATCCTAGTTTTGAGGAATAGTCTTTGATTCCTCAGTAGTATCATTTTTAGTGGGCAGATATCTTTGAGGAAGATAAATCGTAGAGAGTGAGCTTGTTTAAAGAGTAGACTTTGTCGGGGAAGCCGTCTCTTCAGCACAAATATGTCCAGTTGCTTTGGGCCCTGTGAGCCCATGCAGGACCCTAGCCCTGGCCTCTGCCTTTGTGGCAGCAGAGTGGCTTGGACTAGCAGCTGTGAGTTCAAGACTCAGTGCCAGCTTAGCCCTGTGCCCTGCAGGGGACATGGTGACAAGCCCCAGGAACAGCTGCCTGCGTTTTGCTAAGCATTGCCAGATGTCATCATTAGGACATAATAGTGGTGAGACTGCTGATTTTGTGGATTTAAAGAATCGCACTCAGCTTGTTTTTCCTAATTATGAAGGGCGTGTATATCTGAAACATTAAAATAGTACAATAGCTGTATAAAATGTCAAGATGAGCACAGTCCCGGTTTTAAGAAAACATAATACTGACTTGGATGTTCTCTGTGCTTTCTGAAGAAAGGTCTGGAAGTAGTTCTCACTTACAATCTAGATTTATCAGGAGTGCCATAAAGGATGTGAGCACTACAGAGGGTAGAGGAGGGTAGCACTCCAAACGGGTGAAAAAAAAAAGTTAAGAATAAAACACAGCTGTATATGCAAAACATGAGCTGTTTGATTTGAATGTAGATTGACCTATAGGATATGTGAAAGAGCAGACTCAAGCAGGGAGCTCGTGTTAGACATGGTAACCCCACCACCTTCCCTCTGCCTGTCAGGCAGTCCTTCCCGATGTACAGTGAGATTGAACATATGCAGAGATACAGAGAGGTGCCTGTTTTTCCCCCAGCTCCATTTCCAAAAATGAATTATCTGATCCACTTGAAACTAGAAATTGAAATCTAGACTAAAAATGTTTTCAAGAGCTTTTTTTTCTTTTTTTAACTTTTAAAAAATTCATAAACCTAGTTTAGGTTCCACCTGGGAAAAGTTTGCAAATCAGGGAAGAAAAAAAATATCTCGAAGGTCCAGCTGTGATTTCTGGAAGAATTTCAACAGATAATACCCTCAGATAAGGAGCTTAGATACTCTGCAGTGAGAGTATTATTAATCTGAGAAGTTGAATGATGTAGTCATAGACCTTTGCAGCAAAGCTATTTGGTTGTTTTTTTGTGTTTTTGTGAAAGGCTAAGCCACTGAGAATATTTTCGAGGGAACTTCTGAGCCACCCTGCTCATCAGTTATATGGAATAGATCTGTAAGAAAGGTGTGATTAAAATGTGGGCAGGAGAGGTGAGGGGTGTGTGCGTTTTGGCTCATTTTGCTCAAGTTTAAACTGTCATGTCAAAAACTTTAAGCACCAAGGTTTAGAGGGTTTTTAATATCTTTTGAGTCTTGATGTGACATGAAAGCATATAGGAGGTTTCCTTACACTAGCACCCCAAAGAGCAGGAGCCCTTAAACAGCTTGTTTAATATACTTCAGCAGCTTTCCAGTCATGGGCCACCAGGCTGCTCTTCAACCAAGAGTGTTTGTGGGATTTTCAAGCCACAAATGAAATGCTTTTTATGAATGGGACAGCCTTGACAAACCCATATTTTGTATTAAGATGCCAAAATACAGCAAATTATCTTCAAATAATAACTAAAAATGGGCATGTTTGATATTTTACATCATCTATAGAACAGCTAATTTTTCATTTTGAATTAGGACAGTCGTTGAGCATGTTGTGGACTTCCATATGTAGAATGGAGAGGAGTGTCCCTCTTGTTCCGGTGGACCACTCCCTATGCCCTCCAAGACCTGGGGCTCAGACATCTTCTCCATATTCCACACAGACGCCTATAAGCAGCCAGTTGGTGTGTGAAAATTCTCCCTCTTCTTTTCCTAAAACTTTTCCCCTTCTCCCCTCTCACCAAAAAAAAAGGAACAAAAGAAAAGGCTCAGTTGTTCTTTTCTGAAAAAACTTAGTGCTCCCTAAAGTCATCAAACAAACCTTTCTTGGAAATCACTATCTAATATTTTATATGAAGAAATACTTTATGCTTATCCAGTATTTGCTAGGTAGTTTTAACTGTAAATTCACCTACCTAGCTGTCCAAGTTTTAGGTTAAATATTGGGACATGTGCAGGAAATAAGAAGTACTACTTTTAAATGTCATACATCCATTTTAAAGCCATGTTTTTGCACTTTTTAGGCTAGGTAGTCTGATAGTGCCTGTTTTTATCATCTGTACTCTTAAAAGTTTTGTTATTGAAAACGATTGTATGGCATGAGTAATTGAATTATTTATTCCTTATATTTTTATAAGTGGAAAAATCTCTCTAACCAACAAATGATTAAAGTTGTTACTGATTATTTGTTTTCTTAATTTATGCTCCTAAGCAGAATGGTAACAAAGCTTTTTTCAGCTGATTAAATGCACTTAGTTAACAAACCAAAATTTATTCTTAACAAAAAACTGTGTGGAATCTGGACAAGATTATGTTTCTCCCAGAAAAACAGGTTTCACTGTAAAGGTTTGGATGGACAAACATGTGACCACTTTTGAGAAAGGTTGTAATGGTTTTTTTTGAGAACCGCCAGGTCTTCTTGTATAATTTATATGCTGTAGATATGTTTGTATGTTTTAAAAAACATGGAGGACTCTCCATATTTTTTTAATGCAAATGATCTTATAAGCTGCTATGCAAATTCTATTAAAAGCTCTATCTACTATTAAAGAGTAAAACATTCTTGAAGCTTTCAGGGAAGACCTGTAGACTTAAGCACTTTCTCTGCTTTTTTGTATCTGGTCTTAGACACTTATGCTGAGTTATGTTCTTATTATTTTCACTGTTTGTAAGCTATTGATTGTATATAATCTTTAAACCATCCAAATATCCAGCATACATTTCCATGTCACCACAACCCACTATTGACGCCATGAATGAAATGGCTGGTTAGAAAGCCAAAGGTCATCGTTTCTCAATCCCTAAATGAAGAGGTAAAATGCCTGATCTCTTTCATCTCGAAGCATATTTCTGGTCAGATCTCAATATCTGTGTGAGGGAAAGAAACATTTAAATTTGGGATTCTGCTTAAACTTTTAAGTTGAATTTGACTATAGCCATATTCATTCTTTGTATGTATCTCTAACAGGTCTTTTATATGCCTGGTGATATTATACTCTGCCTTGAGTTTGGACAGTTCTTTCAGCTAAATGTGAATTCTTATTGTGGCTTTTTTTCCCCTCCTGAAGATGAAAGCAGAGGAATCTACCATCTGCTACCATTCTCTCAAGAATGCTTGGTAACCTAGAATTATTTTGACTTTCTATATATTGTCTTTAAAAACTGACAGCAGCAGTCTCCCCTGCTGCCCAACCTTTTTAAGGTATCTCGTTTACTGTGCTGGGTATATAGACAATAAATGTGTAATGATAGACAGTTCTAAAAGAATTATGTCATATATCAGGAGTATATGTTTTTGAGCAATATAGTTATTCCTATGGTGTAATGATACTAAGTGAACTTTACAGTTGTAATAGGCTGCTTAAGTGGCTGATGTGACACCCTTTCTTTAAAAACAAAACCAAAAACATCCGGCAGATCAGTCTACAAGAATGTTGACTGCATTCTGTTAAAAGACAGAATTTCACATCAGGTACATAGAGCACACCTGTTCTCTTGTCTCTTTTTGACACTAGCTAAACTGCCAACTGGAATAATGATTGTTATGTATTAACTTGAAAAAATATTTTAACAAGATTTCTTCTTTTGTTTCAAAACTGATAAACTTGAGCTTTATCTCTTGCCACCTCTTATTTTTCCTTCCCACTTCAAGAGACTGAACCAAAGCATAATCTAGTTTTAAAAGTTAATCTACACTTGGTATAAAGCATAAATATGCCATTTGCAAAAATTGCTTGCTTCCAAATGAATGTTTGATTATAATGAATGAAAATCTACCCTATGAACTGTAATCTTTGAATTGCCCCAAAAAAGACTGGCTGAAGCTATAAAAGAGAAATGATACTTTGTGATAGCATATGATTGGCTCTCTTGGTAGATTTCTAATTTAGTCCTGTAAGCACCTTACTCAGTTCTGTAATAATGTTACCTCCATACCATTACACAAATGCTTTTTTGTAGTTTTTGAGTCCTTCTTTGTCCCAGTCACGTATACAACCTTGTAATCTGTTGAGTCACCTCTTCAAAGTGATAAAAGTCTCTTATGAATAGACAAAAATAGACGAAAGGTTCTTTGGTGGCCTGGAGAAATTTTGAAACTGAAAGGTTTCAACTTGATTAATAACATACTGATTCAAGTATTCTTTCATCTAATAGGCATTTATTAATGTACAGTTCAGTTGTATTAATGTACCCAGGCACTTTGAAGAGTTCAAAAGAAAGTTCCTGCACTCAAGTAGCACATTGCCCATTATATCTCAATCACACCATGCCACCTATTCATTAGTCAATTGTTAAATAATTAACCACTTTATATTTTTCCCAAAGTACATCTGCAGTTCTTCTCATCTGGCAAACAGGCAAGTGTTTAAAACGATGTCTGGTGTTTGTTCCATGCCAGCATGAAAGGACTCCAAGCACATCTAAGTAGGTCTGTCTTTTCATCATGGGCAGTTTTTTTTTCCTAACACAGAATTAGACTTTAGTTTTGAGAAGAATATTCATAGTAAGATAAATCACAACAAAAATTAAGCTCTATTGCCCCAAATGGATCAAATGGGAAAGTCTTTTTCAAGAAAAGCTTTTTTTAACTATAAACAGCAAAGCTAAATGGATATTTCATCTACCCCTATTTCTAAATTGTGCTGACCCATTTATTTGCACACTTATATCCTTAAACATCTCATTTGCTGAAAATCCTTACATCTGATGGAGTGTTTCTTAATGATAGATCAAAATGAAGATGTTTTAAACTTAGCAAAATTCCACTTGTTCTTAACACTCTGGTACTCAAACTCAATGAAAAGTGTCCTAAAGAAAGTAAATGAGGTTTGATTGAATTCTCCCTAATTTTGATACCATAACTGCCCCTCTCTTTCCAGTTTGCCTTTCACTTATCGCTACGGTTAATTTTTCAGGCAACAGCCTTCATCATGCCCACAAAGGACCCAAAACCATCTGTGACTGGAATGGCACAGAGAACAGATTCCCATGGGCTTCTTCCCCTTTGTTCTCAAGTGTCCTGGAGTCATGCACACCAATTAGGTCACGCCTTCAGTGTCTTGGTCTTTAAATGTACCCTTTGACAATCAGGTGCTAATGATGAGACATTACTGGAACCAGCGCATAAGTATTGGCGTGTTAGTGTCTGTGCTTCCTAAGCTGGAGGAAGTGATTTCCTTCCCTCTCAGTCCTGTTCAAGTAGATGTCCGTTACTTTTATTCCACCTTTGTTTTGTAAGTTGGTAAAATTTGGGGTAAAGGAAATGATTTCAACTAAGTTTTGAGTTTGGCACAATCATCAATCTTGATAATATTCTTCACACCTTGTAGCAAATCTGCCCTTATCGTAGGAGCCAGTTTTACATTTTTCTCTCTCCTTTGTAGGACTGCAGTGTTACGTTTACAGTCTGTTGGATGGCTTCAGTGTGATAAGACCTTGGTGCCCAAAGACTTTGTTTCTCTTTTGGTACCAGACCCGAGGTCTTTAGAAGGTGGCAAACCACTTACTTATGAAGGCCTATTCTGGTTAATCTGTGCAAACTGGGTGTGTCCATTTGTACGTAGTTGGTCCCACACAACTTTCATTTTTGTTAAGTATTAAGACTTAGAAAGCTAGAATAATACTTCTACAAAGAATTAAAAGTATGTGATAATCTGGTTTTTACTTCTTGTTAGAACCCTGTATTTAAACAAGACTTCTTTTTAAGTGTTATTTTAAAGTCTCAAGTCTTCTGGCATCACCAAACTACCAAATCCAAACCCATGGCATAAAACAGGGCAGTATTTGTGTTCTTAATAATAATAATAATAATAATAAAAGCTTTATGTGTACTCTATAAATATAAATACATAGACAATACTTCCCCTTGAGTTGCACATCAACATATAGCATTGTACATTACAATGAGAAATTGTAACTTAAGGGTATTATATATATAAATACATATATTCCTTTGTAACCTTTATACTGTAAATAAAAGAACTGCTTTTAGACTTGTATTTTTTTCACTTTTTTAATGCTAAAATACTTCCAAACCCACAGGAATATTTCAAGAACAGTACAAAGAACTCCTGTATCCCCTCCACCCAAATTTCCCAATGTTAACATTTGTTCCATTACCCACTCTTGTTGTTTCTAACATGATGCTCTGTCATCCTTAAATCTTGTAGTGTGTACCGGCCAGGACACTCTGGTTCACTGGTACAACACTGGCAGCCAATCCACAGACCTCATTCAAATGGTGCCGATGGTCACAACAATGTCTCCTTTGTCCTCCCAGCACAGGGTCCTGTCCAGAACCATGTGTTGCACTGGGTTGCCATGTCTCATAAGCCCCATCTGAGGCCATTTGTAAGCAGATTTAGGGCAACTCCAAACTTAAAAACTTAGTTTTGGTTCTAGTTCCACCCTGACTTTCTGTGTGACTGGAGCTTAACCATTGGATCAATCTGAGCTTTATGATACTTTTGAGTCACTGGAGAAGGGGGGCTGGTTTCTCAGAATTGTATCAGGAATCAGGGCTCCATATTAGTGTGAGTCACTCACTTTTTTTGATGTCCCAGCAAAATTTTGCCCTGGTCCTACCTCTCCTTTACCTGAACCTAGTTTTTGTTCCTCCTCCTCCACACTGCTCTTGGCCCCCATCCAAGGGTTTCCTAACAAACTGTTAAGAGCCCACTCCTTGGCACGGGCCCCTAGAGTGCTGGAGGCTGTACAGCCTGATTTTACTGGGTTGTATTGGCTGAGCAGAGTTGACTCACTGGTCCAAGCTTGGGTTTACAACAATGCCACATTCTCAGCATGAGTAGAATCCAATCAAGGAAAGTGCTGGGCAAGAAAGCCAATGGAATTGTGCATTTGCAAGTCAATGATTTTCTACCTCAAGTGTGGAGCTGGCAATCTGGTTTCTGCTCTAGTGAGAAAGAACATGAAATTGCTGTTCTGATTCAGAATCATAAAGCCTAGATATGCTCCATATGCCAGCCCACAAAAAACCTAACTTTGGTGCCTTAATTCCCCTTTTCTCTCCTACACTTACTCCCCCATCCCCAGCAATGGCAGCACTACTGCAGAACTGAGGGTTTCTCAGAATCTGTTTTCAGTCATCCAAGGAGAAATCAACAATGGGTGACTGAGTGAGATGGGAAGGCAGTCCTGTTTCCTGCCACCAGAAACAGCTGCTCAGCACAGAGCTTCCTTCAGGAGAGGGAGCTTTCTCTGGAAAGCTCTGCTTTGCCAATGTCTGGATGGCAGGCTCATGAAAGACAGAAGCTAAGCAGGAGGTCCAGGAAAGCTGAGTAGGAAGAACAAAGGGAAGATGAGCACAGCAAGTAGATCTCAACCCCAGCCCTTGCTGTGGGCTGGACTGGGTCCCACTGAATTCAGGAAGACAGGGCCTCCAAAGAGGTGACTCAGTTAAAATGAGGCCTTTAGGGTGGGCCTCAGTCCAATCCTTGTAAGAAGAAACTTGGACACACAGAGATCCGGGGTGCATGCGTACAGAGGAAAGACCCTGTAAAACACAGCAAAAGCGTACTTCTCTGCAAGCCTAGGAAAGAGGCCTCAGCAGAAACAACCCTAACACCTTAATCTTGAACTTCTGGCCTCCAGAACTGCAAGAATGTGTGATGATGACCTCTTCATTCCATCTTACCCTCCTGCTCCCACGGTCGCCCCTTGAACTGTGTTATTGCTGAAATAGAGCCATTTCTGAAATCAGTAACTGACACATCCCTGTGTTCTCCCACTGTGACTACCTTTTGGTCCATACAAGTCCACTGACTCTTACCTTCTCCCTATTCACCTTCCACCTTACCCAGCTCCCAGTCCATAGACTACCACTGCAGCACCACACTCGCTGAACCTGGGAGTTCCCTGCTGCTCTGCCTTCATAGCAGCTGCCTGGATGAACCATCTTCCTGCACCTTCTGGACAGCTGAGTCTTGAGGAGAAAAATGCAAGGCAAACTGGTACCTCTGTACACTTACAGAGGTTGCCAACCTTTACAGGCTTGCCCTTAATACTCATTTCTGATTCACTTTAAATTATGTCCATGTTTAACTCTCCTCAAACCCCAGGCCTTCCACTTCTCTCTCTCTCTCTCTCTCTCTCTCAGCAGATTCTCTTTCCTTCTAATTCACTAAGAAAATAAAAGGTACTCTCCCAACTTCTTGCTACGCATCCATCTTCGCTCCTAAAGCCAACCACCCTATTTGATCTCATTCCCACTGATTAGCCTTCTTATGGAGATCCCTTCTATTGGTTTTTTAAACATGCTTATCTTTTCTCCCAGTAACAACTACCAAAAATCTTTCCCTGGGCCCCACAACTTCTGCAGCTATTGCTCTAGGCCTCCTTTCTTTTCCCCAGACATTTTGAGAGGTGTGTCTCCTCAGGGACTGCATTTGCTCATGTCCCCTTCCACAGGGTCCACTGCAGTATGGCTTCTACCTCCATCTGACCAGAACATCTCTGGCTGAGGTCATCGGTGTCCATGTCACAGTCCGCCTTCTCAGCTGCATGAGGTACTGCACTCCCTCTCCTTATTGACACCCCTCCCCTGACTCCTAAGACACCTGGTTGGCTGTCCTACCTGTCCAGCAGTCTTTCTGAGGTTTTGCAGGCTCATCCTCTGGTCAGCCAACAAACCTCCCAGCTCTGTCCCAGGTGCCTGCCTCGCCCACCCTACCCTTCAGTCTTCCCTGGGAGATCTCATCTGCACAGCTTCCATTTCCACCCATACCCAGAGAGGTGCAACTCCAATTGTCATCTTTCTTCTAGTTGCAGATGCATGTATCTAACTGACACATGATGTTTCAACAGTACCTCAAACTCATCATCTTCCTCACTCCCCTCCCCTCCAACCTGGTCTTGGTTCAGAATTCCCCATGTCAGTATCACCACTATCTGTCCAGGTGCTGAAGCCAGCAAACCAGGAATCATCCCTGTCCCCTCCTGCCCTTCACCATACCTCATCTCTATCCATTTCCACATGCATTGATTTGTTTTCCAAAAACTCCGTTCTGTGCACATCTTTCCATGGCCCTCCCAGTCTGAGCTTTCCTTGCTCTCCTGGGCTATGGAAATACTTCAAAGGCAATAGCCACCCCATCCCTGCAATCTGCTCTGCATGCCAGAGCTACAGTCATCCATTCAGAAACAGTTTCTCACTGTTCTTAGGATAAAACCCCAAACCTTTACCATAGCCAAATGTCCTGGCCCCTGCCCAGCTCCCCAGTGTCATTCACAACAGACTTCGACTTGCTTTCTGCTCTCTGGCTATTTGAGCCTTCGTCCAGTTTCTTAAACGCCGTCAGTGGCCTCCTCAGGCCTCAGGGCCTTTGCACAGGCTGTTCATCACCCTGGAGTGCTCATCCTCTCTCCCTGATCCTTCAAACCTCCACTTAAATGGGAGCCTTTCCTGACCCCCTAATTGTGGGCAGGCTGCCTGTGAGAAGCTTACACAGCACATGAGCCTTTACATACGGGCCTCATCACACTTATCCCATAATCTTTCCTAATGAACAGCATCTTTCTCCTCAAACTATGGGCTCCCTTAGAGCCGTTTTGATCATTGTTGAATCCCCAGAAATTAGCAGAGTGCTCAGCACATAGAGGATATCCTGATTAAATATTGCTGGATGAACGAGTGTGAACAACCCACCTGCTATACCGAAGTTCACGGGGGTAAAGTCCCCAGCTTTGGAGGTTTAAGAAAACCACTTTCTAAAGAGAAAAGTATAAGGGTTAATATTTAAAACAAAACTGACTTTAGACCCACCAGCTTCATAATAGAAATCACCATGGACTGAGCCTCCACTGTGTGGTACACTATGTTTACATTAGCTTATTCATTTCCCCAAATGCCAGACAAGGTAGATACCAATTATTAGCATACCCTGTTAAACATCAGGAACCCAAAGCTGTGGGAAATTAGGTTTACTTTGTAAGTTAAACTGTCCTGTAGGGGCTGATGCAATAGAAGCGGGGGTCTAGGACTAGAGCATTGCTACCCAGCCCTGCCTCAGTCCACCCCCACCTCCCCTGCCCTCCTCCTCCCGGCCCCGCCCCTCCTCCCGGCCCCGCCCCGGCCCTAGCTGCGGCTGCCCCCAGGGCGGAGGAGCGGTGCCTGCAGTACCCGCTGTGGCCGCGCGGGGCAGCCTCGCGACTCGGGCCTGGCCGCTCTGGGCCGCGCTGCTCGCTCGCCCTCGGACTCGGCTCCGGCTGCCAGCGGCCGCCCTGCCTGCGCCCAGCTCCAACCCGCCGGGCTCCCCGCACCGGACCCAGCACCTCGGCTCTCCCGGGCCGGACCGAGGCCGCAAGCAGCGCCGCGGGGTGCGGGGCGGACCCAGGAGATGAAATGACAACGTCAACCCTCCAGGTACTCGGCGCGGCTGGGCCCGGCTTGCGGAGGCCGAGAGAGACGCGACGGGGCCTGCGGGCCGGCACCCCGGCGGGCAGCCGGGTGGCCTCCCCAGCGCCTCGGCCTCGCGGTCCCCGCCCCGCCTCCGCCCGTTTCTGTTTTCACGCGCTCGGAGCCAAGGGCCGCCTCCCGCCCCGAACGTGCGGCCCCTGGCCGGGCCGAGCCCTGAGACCGCTACGTGCAGCCCCCGCCCCTCGACCGCCCCGGGCATCGGCCTCACCGGGCCTCCCAGGAGCCGCTCTGGAAGCTCGGGCCCGCGGTCTGACTCCTCGCTCTCCCTCATGCAACTGCCTCCCCTTGAATAAGCCCCCTCTGTTGCTCAGGTTTCCTCTTCTCGGTTAACGACCCTTCATTCATTCCCTAGATCGTGCTGGGTGGGCTGGGGTGGCGCCACCTGGATGCATGACTGACCCATCCGCCAGGTACTGCCAGTCCGGCTGGGCCGGAAAAACATAAACGTGCTCCGGCCTCAGACCTGGGTTTCTTTACGGGCTCTGCCACTCACGAGCATGTGACCTTGGGCTAGTTACTTGCTCTTGGAATTTCGGGTTTCCTGTCAGTAAAATGGGTTAATACTCCAGTAGAGTTGATGTGACAGTGGCTCTAGTTTGAGTAATTCAGGTAAAGCATTCTTAACACAGTATCTTTTACCTAGTAAGTGCTCAGTAAGTGATGGCAGGTAAAGTTGCTTGGGAAGTTAAGCAAGACTTCATGGAAGAAGGGCATTTGGGGGATCAGCAAAGGATGGAAGGATGGGTAGTAATCACATACCTGGAGGTAGAGAAGGGATGGTTACTGTAGGTAGAGGAAAGAGTGGAAACAGGCATGGAATAAGTTGGGGTACTAGCCTAGGAAGTAGCTGGAGGTACAAAGCCAGACCCCACCATCCACCAGCAGGAGGTCTGCCCACCATGGCTTGCAGATTCCCCCTGCCCCATTTTTGTATGGCCTGTGAGCTGATAAGAATAATTTTTCACATTAAAAAAAAAAACAGCTTTATTAAGATAAAACCCACATACCACACAAATCACCTATTTAAAGTGCACAATTCAATGTTTTTAGTATATTTACAGACCTGTTCAACCATCCCTACAGTCACTTTTAGAACATGTAAGTCATCCCAAAAAGAAATCCCACTTCCTTTAGCCATCATCTCCTAAGCCCTCTATACCTCCCCAACCACTAAATCTACTTTTTGTCCCTATGGATTTGCCTATTCGGGGCACCTCAGATAAGTGGAATCATATACTATATGGTCCTTTGTGACTGGCTTCTCTCACTTAACATAATGTCAGAGGTTTTTAAAGAGGCTGAATAAAGAATATTTGTGACATATGAAAATCATGAAATTCAAATTTCAGTATCTATAAATAAAGTTTTATTGGAACACATCCCTGCTCATTTGTTTATGTATTGTCTGTGGCTGCTTCTGGACTACAAAGGCCAAGTAGTTGTTACAGAGATTGTATAGCTAAGAAAGCCTGAAATACCATGGTCCTTTACAGAAAGTTTGCCGGCTCGTCTTCCTCCTCTACCCCTTTCTCTCATCCTCATTCTTTGCTCTGTGTGTTACTAGAGATTCAGCAGCGCTGGCAGTTCGTTTGTCACCTTTCCCTCGTGTTAGGCAAAACTATTCCCTCTCCAAATTGCAACTGAGGTATCTTGCATGTGAAAAACTGTATGTGCTAATGTGTTCTTAGGTACATAATAGAGAATCTAGAAGGAGGGAGGGGATGGGTCTGCTCTGCCACATTGGGGTCAGAGCCTACCTGGAGTATTGTTCTGTGCCCTACCTTTCAAAAGGACAGACCCAAGCAAGAAGGCAAACAGTGAGAATGTCCAAGGAACTGGGGGTGTTTGTTCTGGAGAAGAGAAGGCACTGGGGGTAGGAGCATCCCTTTCACATCTTTTGGGAAAGGCCTTCATGGGTGAGAGAGCAGACAAATAAAGCTTGTGCTTAAGCCAGTCATCCAAGAAGGCTCAGGGCTCCTAGCCATTCTCTGTTTGTAGGTAGAGGAGGGAGCTGACGCTTGAAAATATCCAACAGTGTTACCTTTCATGTCTTCAACCTGGTGAGTTCATTTAACATTGACCTGGCCTAACCTGCCCCAGTCTGTTTTTTAGAGCTATCTGTGTCTTTCTTTCTGAGACTTACTAACTTCCAATGAGGAAGGGCTGCACAAATGCCCAGGCCCTGCCAAGAGCTAGTCAGGAGGCTTATTGTTCACTGTGGGTGGAACTGTATGTATACAGCGGGATCTGCCTGCTTGGTGTCTAGTGCTGTATCAGCTTGAGGAGAATAATTCTGGAAACACTTCCCGGGTTGGTGAAGCCATGGTTTCTAAAAGTGGGTATGTAGGTGTGGGGCAGCTGCCTGAAAGATCCAGCCTACCTGACATTCCAGTCTAGTACACAGGAATACAGGATGTATGAGATTCACAAAGACCCTCTCATAGAGTTCTTAGAAGGTTCCAGATGCCCATTCCCCTGAGTTGGTAGCACATATATGCCTCTAGAATAAGCAAGCTTACTGGCAATGTCTCTCTTCCTCCCAGAGCTACTGATGTATTGACTCATGTGGCTAAGCATCCCTTCCCTAGGTATCAACTTTAGGAAACTATCTTCTCAGCCTCAAGAAGCAAGTAGGGCTGGTAGAAGGAAGTAGTGATCCCTTTAAGTCCATCTCGTAAAACCCAGGTCAGTGAGGGACTTTCTTAGCCTACTGGCTCTTTTCTGGTGCTCAAGGTTAAGTACGGTCTCTGGTTTCCATGCTGAGCAACACAGAAATCGGTTGGTTCTGGTGTTTCCCCTGTTCCAGGCTCTGCATCCAGGTTCATTTCTCTTTCCCTTGCAGCATGGAATAGAAAGTGAACTCTGCCTTTGGGTCCTAGAGAGAGCTGATCCCGTTTCCACAGCTGAAATCCAGAGGGAAGACTGAGAAGGAGGTTGCTTTTAACTGTATGAGTGTATTGTGAAGAGGGATGGCTGACTTCGAAAGCTTCCTTTTAAGGCCTTTCTAGTTGATGTTAGAAAAGTAGGTAGATGTAATGGTCTGCAACTGACAAATCCACAGGTCTGGCTTATATCTCATCTGTGATTTCCTGCAGCTTGGGCCCCAGAGGGCTTTCTGGATCTCTTGAGAAGCACTCAGTTATTTGCTTTGCCTTTCCAGAAAGCCATCGATCTGGTGACAAAAGCCACAGAAGAGGATAAAGCCAAGAATTACGAGGAGGCGCTCCGGCTCTATCAGCATGCTGTGGAGTATTTCCTACACGCTATCAAATGTGAGTCACACACAGGGTCCTCCTGGCCACAGAGCCTCTGTGAGAGGAGAGGGCACACCCTGTCTGGTTCCCCTTTTGCAGATGAGGCACACAGTGACAAGGCCAAGGAGAGCATCCGAGCCAAGTGCATGCAGTACCTAGACCGGGCTGAGAAGCTGAAGGATTATTTACGAAGCAAAGAGAAGCACAGCAAGAAGCCAGTCAGAGAGTCTCAGAGTGAAAGCAAGGGGTGAGTGCAGAGGGCGGGGCACTGGGCCGGGCCACAGCGCATGCCCCCTGCCTGTGTCCCTGTCGTTCTCCCTGCTGGTCCCAGGGCACCTTCCTTTTAGGGAGTCCTGCTCATGCTAGCTGCTGTTGTGAGGCACTTTACGGAACCCTTCCACGTGTGATACCTCATTGCGTCTGCACAGAAAAGCCCTGGGTGGGATGAGGAGCCAGTGTGAGGTTATGAGCTTGGGACTCTGCAGCCAGACTCCAGCAGTATAGCCCAGGTCTGCCCCTCGCTAGCCTTGTGGGCCTGGACAAGTGCCATGGCAGCCCTGTGCTGCCAGGCTCCTCGTCTGCAGGAGAAAGATAATGGGACTTGCCTTAGTGTTATTCTAGGGGCAAACAAGGTGATGCGGTCACACCCTGAGAATACAGCTTGGTGCTCAGTATGGGTCACATGAATGTCAGCGGCTGCTGTCATCAGAGCCATCGTCTTCATCTGACAGATGAGGCAGCGGACTCAGGTTCAGAGATAGCCCAGGTCACAGAGCTGGTACTTGCTGGTGTCTGGACCCACCCCCAGGGTCTCTGTTTCTGACTCCAAAGGCTAGTGTTCCCTCTGCAGCCGCTCTCCTCACATCTGTATTTCGCCCACCATGGAGATTCCGGTTAGCTGAGCACAAAGGCCAGGGGTGTCCTGGAGGTGGAGGTGGGGGGTGGTCCTGAGCAGGAGGGCTGCAGAGAGGATTCCCCAGCGTGTGGGACACACCTAGGAAGGCAGGAGGATGATGGCATAGCACTTCAATCTGGACGGTGACTGTGCTCCTTTCCCAGCTGCTCCCTTCTAGACTTAAACTTTACCTCTTCTCCAAGTCGCAGGCACTTGGTGGGTTCTGAGTCTGTATGAAAGGCCAGGGACAGCTCCAGGTGCTTGTGCAGCTACTTCTGAAGTCTGGCCAAAGCACATGTCCCTCACCAGCCTTCTTGAGAGGGCACGCGTCTCTGTTCTTACTCCCTCGGTGAAGAAACTAGGGTGGGCCGTGGGAACACTGCCTGGGGGATCCCAGAGGAGTGCTGATGACGTGCGGCCTGCGTGTGCCTGAGGAACGCCCTTCGGGACAGTGGCCTGTCACCACCATGCTGGCCTCACTCCAAGGGCCTCCTTGCAACTGCCTGCTGCTATAGCCTGTCATCTCTGTCTGCTTCCCCAGCAGTGACAGTGACAGCGAAGGGGATAACCCAGAGAAAAAGAAATTGCAAGAGCAGCTGATGGGTAAGAGGCTCGAAGCACTGTGGCGATGGGAGGGGGCATGGTGAGGGCCGCCTGGAGGGCTGGCTCCGCCTCACTGGCCGGGCTCTGGGGCGAAGGCTCTGCTTGCCTCTTGCAGGTGCTGTTGTGATAGAGAAGCCCAACATTCGGTGGAATGATGTAGCGGGGCTGGAGGGGGCCAAGGAGGCCCTCAAAGAAGCTGTAATTTTGCCAATTAAATTCCCACACTTGTTCACAGGTAAGCGTTGAGCCACTTACGGCCCGGATGTGAAAATACCAGGCTTGGGAGGGAGCCGGCTTGGGGCTCCTAATGTGCAGGTGGAAGCTTAGCTCCCTCTGTGCACAGTGGGCACAGGCTGGCCTTCCTCGTGCATTCTTGGTCGGGAGGGGCTCCAGGGTCTGCTCATCATGGTCAACATGTCAGAAACACCTTTCTAAGTAGGACTTTGACTTGACCATCCCATGGGCAGGCAGGGTCAGCAGTGTCACTCTGCAAGGCCATAGGGGTCCTAAGACAAGGCTAGGACCAAGCTATGGGCAGGCAGTTTAGTTCCCTTTACTCTTTTGCTCCTAGAATCAGTTGTCTTGTAGACCTTTTCATTCCTGACTATATTTACAGTGACTAAGGCCCCTCTTCTCTTCTGTCTCCTGTCCCTAGTCAGGAGAAAGCTCACTTCAGCTTGTTCTGTCGTATAGGCAAGCGCACCCCTTGGCGAGGGATACTGCTTTTCGGACCCCCCGGCACAGGGAAGTCCTACCTGGCCAAAGCGGTGGCAACAGAGGCCAGCAACTCCACCTTCTTCTCTGTGTCATCCTCAGACTTGATGTCTAAGTGGTTGGGAGAGAGTGAGAAGTAAGTCAGCTGCCTGGCCTGGCTCTGCCGGCAGCCCTTGCCCCAGGAGTCACCTCCCCTGAAGCCACTGTCGGGTGTCAGAGAGAAGTAGCCAGCAGAGGGGTATCTTGCTAGCTTACTAGGGGGGCATGGTCCTGACAGAGTCAGCTGCAGTTGGAAGGGGACTTGGGAGGGATGAGTCCTCATGAGGGGAGGAGACAGGCACTCACAATAACGGGAGTCAGGTAGTGGGCTTATTCCCCACACCGGCTTCCCTTCTGCAGATGACACTGAGGCTGAGGGGAGGGGAAGGGACTTCTCCTAAGTCCAGAGCTAATGAACGGGGCTGCCAGGACTGGAACCTGTCACCACAGCTGGCTTTCCCCTGGGCACAGTGCTGCAGAGGGTTTGTTACCCCACTGACGGAAGTCCAGGCATGCCTGGAGTCCTGACCACCCCTCGGGAAGGGCAAGAGGAGAGAAGTGGCGGCTGGGATCCTGGCTGGGCATGTGGGTGGGTCCCGATGGCAATCCCCCCGCACCTTCACAGACTGGTCAAGAACCTGTTCGAGCTGGCTCGGCAGCACAAGCCCTCCATCATCTTCATTGACGAGGTGGATTCCCTCTGTGGATCCCGCAATGAAAACGAGAGTGAGGCTGCTCGGAGGATCAAAACGGAGTTCTTGGTCCAGATGCAGGGTGTGAGCAAGTCCCGGTCCCGCCCTGGTTCTCATTTCACCTAAAGCTAGCCTTGGGCTTCACTGTTTTGCTATGAGTGGGTTTAATCCTCCTGAGGTGAGAGGAATATATGAGAAGCAGCTCTGAGCTCCATCTCCTCAGGCCCCTGGTTACAGAGGTTCCTGCGACCTTTGCCTGGTGCCTGTGCCAAGGCAGGCAGGGCTGCAGGGCTCTCTTGGCCCAGTGGGGCTGGCTGGGGCCTTGCACGGGGGCAGCGCCAGTTCAGGACACACACAGCCACTGAGGTCCTTCCCACGGGTTCTGACTGATCCCTACCGGTGTCCTGAGTCAGCGCCTGTTTCCCTTGCTCACAGGGGTGGGGAACAACAACGATGGGACTCTGGTTCTCGGCGCCACAAACATCCCGTGGGTGTTGGACTCGGCCATTAGGAGGAGGTGAGTCTTCCCCAGTAGGAGCTGGGGGCTGTGGTCTTTCTCTAGTTGTGGCCAACCTGATGCTGGCTGCTGTGCATGCAGCCTGACCCCCTTTCCCTGGAGGCTTCTCTGTGGCTGCGTGGTGAGCAGAGCCCTGAATGAAGGCGTCTTTGGAGGGCCCCGGCACCCCCCACCATGAAGATGTTCCACCATCCACTCTCAAGTCCCACCGTGTGCTTGGCTCTCTAGGTTTGAAAAGCGCATTTACATCCCATTGCCAGAGGAGGCTGCCCGTGCCCAGATGTTCCGATTGCATCTGGGAAGCACTCCCCACAACCTCACAGATGCCAACATCCACGAGCTGGCCCGGAAGACAGAAGGCTACTCAGGAGCAGACATCAGCGTTATCGTGCGGGATTCCCTCATGCAGCCCGTTAGAAAAGTACAGTCAGCGACACACTTCAAAAAGGTGAGTGGGCTGGCAAGGCCTTGCTTAGAAGGTGTTACAGGAAAAGGGGCATTGGTTTTCTGGGCCAGCTCCTTGACTGCTCAGGCGACACATCCTGGGGGTCTTGGGGAACCAAGGGCAAGTGCAGAGTGAGCCTCTGGCTCCAGGGCAGGGGCCTCACTGCTCTGCCCTTCCCTGCAGTTCTGTGTAGAGTGTGACCATCTGAGATTGTGTGATGCTAAATGACATGGCCCATGCCAGGTACCTCCCGCCCCACAGTCAGCTCTGTGCTGCTGTACGTGGCGGCCCCTACTCAGTGTCTGAGAAGTGGTGGGGATGAGTCGCACTGTAAGGAGCTCTGTTCATGCAAATCTCGGACCAGTGTCCAGCCAGGGTCCTACTAAGCACCTGGCACTGTTCTAGGTGCTGGGGAGATATTCATAACTGAGCAGACAAAAATCCCTGCTGTCCGGGAGCCTCCCTTCCAGTGGGGAAGGTAGACAACAAGCAAAATTAAGACTTGTTTCTTAGAGGGTGGTGAGGGGGAAGGCAGAGGAGGGAGGGAGGCCTGGTGTTCCCAAAGGCTGGAGGGCGTAGGCAGGCTGCGCTCTGAAAGGACAGGCCACACTGGTGACAGGCGAGTCGGGAGATGAGGGAACGTAGTTTCGGGGGAATGCTGCCGATGGAGCAGGCTTCAGTTGAAGAAAGAGTTTTGATGTCACTGCATTCATGGTAAGATTTGGAGTTAATGAGAAAGAGGAAGATACCAGGCATTTGGGCCACCAGACTGGTATTCCGGGGAACAGAGGCTGGAATGTCATGCTGTTCACAAACCTCTGAAATCAGGCTTTGAGCCACTTTGACTACCCAGCTCGAGAGTTTTGAAGGAGCCCATCCCTCAGACTGATGCCCCAGAAACCCAGGCTTTCGTTCATGCCTTACCATGACTTCTCCTCAGGACTCAGGATGCTGAGGCCTTCTGCCCCTTCCCCAGACATCAGCGGCAACCCCGCTGGCCAGACAAACTCGTGTTTGGTTTTAGGTCTGTGGCCCTTCCCGCACCAACCCTAGCATTATGATCGATGACCTCCTGACCCCGTGCTCACCAGGGGACCCAGGAGCCATGGAAATGACTTGGATGGATGTCCCGAGTGACAAGCTCTTAGAGCCTGTGGTTTGCATGGTAAGTGGCCAGCTGGGAGAGGGACTGCACAGAGCCCAGAACATTGGGGGTTTGGGTCCAAGAGTAAAAGTAAGGTTCTCACCTTCTCTGTCCTGGGCTGTTGTGGACCAGCCTGAATGGAGAATGGCCTTTGGGGCTTTGGGTGGTTGGGGCTCCTGCCATTAGACTCGGTAGGGGCCAAGGACAGAGGCTGTAGCATTAGTATTTTATTTTCTTCAGCACGAAGGGTACAGGCCAGCTGACGTGACTACACCATTCCATGGATCTGGCTTGTTTTGTGCACAGAAGGAACCATTGAATGTCTGTCAGCACAGCTGGATTTTGTGCAGTTGTGCAGGCAGCCTGTCACTTGATGAGTCTTCCTTCTCCTCACCCTCGTCTTGCTGCTGGTCCTGCCCCTTGTGTGTGCAGGGGTCTGCCATTGTGGCTGGTGTGGAGGATGTGCCCTTACAGCTTCTCACAGGAGTTAAGAGATGTTGGGAGCTTAGACTCGCTCAGACTGGAAGTAGGCCCCTCTGGAAATGACATGAGCTGCCTCGGAGGGAAGAGTGAGGAGGCATTTGGGCAGAAGCCGGGCAGCCAGGGGGAGGCCTGCATTCAGGGCTGGGCAGTGACCATGAAAGCAGGCTCTTCCGGCCCTAGACTGCACAGGTTTGCGACACGGGGAGACTGAAGGCCTGGAGCCCGGCTCCTCAGCTGCGTGCCCTTGTCTTTGCAGTCGGACATGCTCCGGTCTTTGGCCACCACTCGGCCCACTGTGAATGCAGAGGACCTCCTGAAAGTGAAGAAATTCACAGAGGACTTTGGACAGGAGAGTTAAAATCCTCACTCGGGTGATGGTGAAGGTGGGAGGCTGGTTGGGGTAAATCCATGGCACTTCCCATGTCAGTGGCCACACAGGGCTCCAGGGCTCATCCTAAAGTCACTGTATTGTCCCCTGGCTCTCTGGCCATCAGCTGGGGAGCAGGAAGGAATGGCCTCCCTGGCCACAAAGACGCAGAAGCACATTCGGCACCCAGTGGATTACTGGCTCTTCCTACTTCCTCTTCTTCTGGATGCTCGCCAGCTCCTTGTCTCCTGCCCCTCTGTGCGTTTTTTTTAAATCTTTTGTTCACCTAAATTAATGCTGCTTGGATTTTGTCTTCTTTATAGAGTTAAAATCTCCCAGAAGTGTCACGGAGTTGGGGCAGCGGCGCTCTGGGGTCGGTACAGCCGACCTTCAGATGCGCTTGCCAGCCCCTGCTCCCCACTCCTCCTAGGCCTGTTCCTTGTGAACTAACGGCTGATGCCCTGGGGCCCCAGCCTGAGCTCTGCCTGCTCAGGCCAAGAGTGAAGCCAAACCAGTCCCACCCTCCAAGGTCAGCATCCTGGGCCCTGTGTCCTCCCTGCAGGAGGAGAGGATGGTTTTTGTGAGCACAAAGCTGTGGAGATCAGCACGAGTGAGGATCACTGCCGTGTGGATCGGTCAGGCAGGTTTCCCTGCTCCTGTTCTTCCTTCTGAATGTGAGAACACAGCCCAGCCGCTGCCCCTGGCTCCCCCCCTGGAAACAGGCTAATAAATCCTTCTCCCCTCTGGAGCCACCTGAGTGATGTCATCTTTGACTCTTGTTTGAGGCTCTTTGAAGGCCCTGCTTACTTCTAAAAGAAAGACCCTCCAGTTTTCTGCTGTCTTCTCTCAGCAGAGGGGGCAGTGAGTAGGAATGGAGCCGACTGCTGCACTGCCCAGGCCTGTCCTCGCCAGGTTCTCCAGTCCCCACCCCCCACACGAGGCTGTGGAATTGTGGTCAGGAGTGTCTGAGGGATCCGGACAGTTCTTTGTGTTTGTCAGCCTTCTGGTCAGAGGCTGCAAACTGGGAGGCCAGACATGGCCTGCAGCTATATTTGGTCTGGTCTGATGCTAACATTTATAGATCAAGAGAGTTGATGGAAAAAGTAAGATTTCTGGCTTTTGGAAACTTACATTAGGTAATGCTGGGCCTTCTCCCTGTGAGGCAGCCTGCTAGCTGCACCTGAGCCGGGGCTGCCCTGTGCAGGAGCAGGACATGCTCTCCAGCTCATCCATCCCCACATGGACTGCTTCACTCTTCTGTGTTGCCTGCCCAGCCTGTGGCCATTTGAATTCATGGCTCCTGATCATGAGACACCCAAGGTTCCCGAGCTGGCAGCCATGGAAATGCTGTTCGACGGGAAGCAGAGCATCCTGTGTACACATGAATACACAGAAAAGGCCTGGCATCAGGGTGTTCTACCCCTCCTCCCTCTCTCAAAACTGGTATTATTCCTCTGTATCTAACCTGAATGTCCAGAACTGATTACGTGAACTGTCAGATCATGTTAGCCTTGCACAGTGGTGTGCCTGTGGATGTCGTATGAAATGAGCAAAATTGTGATTGGTTCCTGGAAGGCTGCAGCCCTAAACTCCTCTCCAGGGCTGGTGGGCCAGACCCCTCTCCTCACTTGGGGTAGCAGAGGGCCGGACGGCCAGATGCAGCTGTGGCTGGGATCTGTCACTCGGGTTGCCGTAGTCATTGGTTAGTTTTGTGCTCTCAGCCACTACTACCGTTTATAAAGGCTGCACTAGAAGCCAGGATAGGACACTACCCCATGCCCATAGACATTTCACTTCAGCTGGTTGGGTTTTCTTACTCCACCTCGTTACCTTTACTTGAATCAGAGGATCCTTTTGTTTTGTTTTTAACCTCCTTCCTCATTTCTACTGCTTAAACACTGTGACAAGTCATGGGGATTAACAAGCCTCAGGGCTGCCGTGGTGCATCCTTGCAGCTCGTCAGCTTTCACAGACAGCTCTCTCCAGCACCACCGACAGGGCGAATGAGTGTCCCTCACATCTGAGACGGAACTAACCGAGGCCAATGCGTGGTCACACCATCAATGTTAAACAGGGCTAATAAGTGTGGAGTAATTTCCTTCCCTAAGTGCTTACTCTGAAGTTCACTCTTCTCTACCTGAGAATTCTGTTCTAACCTTTCAGCCTACATTGGTTTTCACTTAGGTAGTTACCTTCCAAAACCTTCACTAGCTCAAGATGTTGATTTGTTTGTATGGTTTTTGTGGCTGACAGAGCTGCCTGAGGTGGAGAATTTCTTTATCAGAAATGCAAGGATTTGTTGACTGTGGGCTGCACTATGTACTTGTCCTTCCCCCGTAGTTAAAACAGTAAGTCTCATACACTGTCAGCAATGAAGATAGTCTCAAGCTTTCTCTGAGCAATCACTGCACAATCATTTACTCTTGGGATTCCAGGCCAGGAAGCTGCAAACAAATGATCTACATTCCAAAGGTATCACTAAGGACTATTAACCTCAGGCACTGTAAGGAAGCATCAGAATATTCTGATGTCACCCTGCCGGAGCCTCTGAACATCATCCAAGGGAAAGGAGGCTCACTGCATTTTAATCTTCATAAAGATCCATGTTTCCAGGATAATTGGGAGTTTTCTACAGACTTCCCCAAAGACTAGGTCTCCTAACTTCTGTTGGGGCAGTGCTGTTCCTGTCCAAAGTTTAATGCATAGAGAGACAACTAACTTTTCCTTGGCCTCAGGGGCCCCCAGACAGCCTGTTCAGAGAAAGCCATAGGAAAGAATGGGTCTTTCCTGGGTTGGTTTAATTAACTGCTTTTTAAAACATTTTCTCTAAACAATTTACTGGACTTCTTACTATATGGGTACTTGGATTTTGGGGACTTTGGTAAGAGTATCTGCATGCAAAAGTCAACATAAAAATGAGGTAAGACCAGTACCTAAAGAAACAAGTTCCTTCACCTCTTGTCAAAGCTCTGAGTGTATCTTAAGGATAATCATTGGTCAGCATGATGCTAACTTATTTTTCCAAAATAAGTCTGGTCCCCAGCCCAAGTTCTGCTTTCCATTTCTATTCTGACAGGAAGAGGCTCATTGCTCCCCTTCAACTATCACCCCTCCCCTAGCCCTGCTCCATGGCCTCCAGCCAAAGAATAGGCCAAGTACCAGCTGCCCAAAAGGTCTCAGCAGAGAAATCTTCCCCAAATCTGTTAAAGGCGTAAGGCAAAAGGTGAAAACCAAAGTGTATCTTAACCTGTTAAAATGTGTGGTACTCATTTTCATTAATATTGTCATTAAACACTTCCATGAACTGGGGCCATTCTGCCCTGTGTTCTACTTCCATAAGCAAACTGGTGTACAAGGCAAAGAAGGATGCAGGAAAGACACACACAAGCCCTTTGTAAAAATAAGAACTTGGCAAAGGTCAACCGTAGCTTTAGCCAGCATTTTTAAACACAGCTTTCAGATATTTTGGGACTACACCATTATCATATCTTGGCTTTGAATAGATTACATGGTCTCATGAAATCATGTCTACTGAGAGTGATTATTTACTTGCCCCACTTACTTCCATATAAAATCATCAGGCAATGTCCATGCCTTTAGGGGAGTTAATTTTCAAAGGCAATATTTTGTCCACAGCTGATTTCAGGGCAAATATTTTTAACATCCTCCAGGGTGGTTCGGCAGTTCGCTGTTTTCTGTCAGAGCTGGGCCAAGGCCAAGTTGATGCCAAGTGAGACGTGCTCAGCCCAAAGCCAGTGTTTGTGTTTTGGTTTTCAGAATCTTCAGATGCAGCAGAAAAGGTCTAATCATTCACTTCCATCCAGTGGACGTTAGTAAATGTCTTGCTGTCCATTTTGTCAATGAACAGGCAACCCTGCAAGTGGTCCATCTCATGCTGGATGACGCGGGCTGCCCATCCACTCGCCTGCCACACCATGTGCTCTCCTCTAGGGTCCAGCCCTGCAAGTGAAGTTACAGCCTGGGTAAGGACATGCTGCACTGCATCATTTTCAACCTCTTGCCTTTTCCCTGGCCCTGGCCGTTTCTGTTTACAAGAGGTAACATCAGAAGGGAATGTAGACAGCAGCCTCTATCCTTCCTAGCAAAGATATCTTAACTCTGCCCATTACCCAAGTAGTGAACCTGGTTCCCAACTCTTGACAGGTTGCTGGGTGTAGTCTGGGGCTGCGATGAGAAATGAGGTGCTGCCCTTCTGATACTCCTCCCACCTCTATAGTAATCATGTTTGCTTTCGATTCCTAAACAGAGTACTTCAGCTTGGTATAATACAAAATAATGGGATACCATTGACTTTCTGGCCCTAGTGGCTTGCTGAAGAGGAACAATCATCCTAGCCCCAGCGAAGAACCACACTCCACAAAACATTCTGTGGTATGACAGATCGGGAATGGCTATCCCCTGTGTTGTACAAAGCTGGGTCCCATTTGTCCTACTCCCACCATGACAGATCTAACTGGGGAGAAGGGTATGTGTATGAGAGACCCAGGAGGAGCGAATGGGAATAGAGCAGAGGACCGAGTGCGAGGTACAAGGCCATCCTTCCAACCGCCGTGCCTCACTTGAGCTGGCTCTCACAGGAAGGAGCCTTCGGCCCCATCCCATTCTGTCAGTCCTCCATCCTGTCCATACCCGGATCCTGCCCTTCGTTGACACGGGGAGGCTCCGCACATCGATGTGTCTGCAATTCAACTGGAGCTTTGCGAAAACTAGTGGGATGCAAGGCCGCCGCCCCCACTGGCGGGAGAGACACACGCGCTTACCCAGCCACCTCAGGGCCCCTCACCTGAGATCTGCACGGCCTGGAAGCGGGGCACGCAGGCCAGGAAGCCGGCGACACTCTCGCAGCCCTCAGCGAAGGTGACCAGGCGGCTGTCCAGCACCCGCAGGCTGGGGTTCACAAACACGCGCAGAGGGAAGGGCTCCATCTGGCGGGCCTCGCGCAGGCGCGGCGCGCAGGCGCCGCAGAGAGCCTCTGGGAGCTCCAGGGCCAGCACCTGCAGCGGCACCCCGAGCTGCGGCGCACTCAGGCCCACGCAGCGCCGGCGCCGCATCACCTCCACCAGCCGCTGCACCAGCCGCTGCACCTCGGGCCCCGCCAGCTGCGCGGGTTCTACCGGGGCCGCCACGGTCCTCAGCACCGGGTCCCCGACCTGGCACACGCGTGGGTAGGGTGGCTTGGGCGCTCCCCGCACCAGACGCCGCATGTAGCGCCAGTAGGAACGCCGGAGCGCCGGGCCCCCGAGGTCTTCTGGGGCGGACGTGGACCTGTAGGCCCGGGCGCCGCCGCCGCCTGCCCCTTCCCACCACAGCAGGGCTGGCCCCGTGCGGCGAGGTACCCGCGCCAGCAGCAGCCCGCCCCGCAGCCAGCCCATGGTGCGCCCGGCCGAGCAGGCCGCTCGCCAGCACGCGTCCCTCCCCAGCTCCTGTAGCCGATCGCTCCCTCCGCAGAGGACGCCGGGAAGCGTAGTCCTGCGTCGTCTGAGAGCTCCGACGCTACCAGTGAAGCCCACCTCTTGGTGACGCCAATCACCTTTATTAATTCCATTTCTTATTGTATAATCAACCATTTACAAGAGTGGCGGTAAGTGCCCCCGTTAATTCACTCTCAAATGCCTTCGCAGCCTCTCCCCTGGGACTACCCGGTGCTTTCCGAGGCGAGGCAACAGCCGGGCAGCCCCTTCCCTCGCTTGGGTGAGGCCCCGGCCGCCTGGCCCTAGGCCCGCGCCGGTTCCGGCAGCAGGGACCGCCTGTTAAGCGTCTGCAGGAGGCACAGCGGTCGGCCACGGCATCACTGATTCAGCCTGCTTTTGCCCACCCTCTGGGAAAGGCGGACTGACTGGCTGGAGGCTTGGCTCCTGGTTGGGGGCTTCTGGTGCTGGAGCTGTGAGCTCGGGCACTTGCTCCTTTTCATCTAGACAGAACACGGCCTCTCTGTTCGGCAGGAGAAAGGCGAGAGGCCCCTGGACGACGCCAATGTTCACATGCCCAAGGTTTCCGTACTTGGAGAGCTGAGTGGGTGGAATGCCTGACACAGACCGGAAGAAAAGTGACAGAGAAAAGACGCTTAATAAATTCAAATATTTAAGTGTCACAGGAGGAAAAGAAACACTAAGAGGAACTACCAGATACAATTACCGTATTTCAATATAGTAAAAGGCATCTTTGTGATATGGAACAGGAAGCTATTCTGTAAAGTAAGGCTTTGAACATAATCCAGAACAGCACAGTGTGGGGCAGACAGGTAAGAGCCAAGACAACCTCAACAGGCACTGGCTTCCCTGTGACAGGCCCAAAGGGCAAGCTGGGGGGAAGGTGGCAACCAGCCACTCTGTGCTGGTGTGATCACTGGCCCACTGCTCTTTGGGAAGCTGTGCCTCCCCCGTCCTCAGCGCAGAGCAAGTGGGCACAGGGAAGTGAAGGCGAATGGGGAAAAATTTAAACTTTAAAAACACCTCTGCACATTTCATATAATGGAATCATACAACATGTAGTTCCTGTATGACTGGCTCTTTCCATTTAACCTGATATTACACATATTGTATGATTCCATTTATACAAAATGTCCAGAAAAAGCAAACCCATTGCAACACCAAGTAGATTAGTGGTTGTCGGGGGCTAACGGTGGGATCAGAGAGTGATTACAATAGGCATGAGGGATTTTTCTAGGGCTTTGGAAATGTTCTAAAAATAGATGGTGGTAATGGTTGTACCCTTCTGTACATTTACTAAAAAGCACTGAATTTTACAAGTGGGTGAATTACTTAGCATATGATTATATCAACAGTTTTAAGGATCTTCTCCTTTCTCTTACCTAAGGTCTGTGCTATCTGAGCTGGAGGAAAAAGGACTTGGAGACAGCGATTTAAATAAGGAACAAGGTCTTCCAGGAAGACAGTGCAGAACTGGACAAAGAGCTCTTGCTCCCCACTGCTAAAGGCAGCCTCTTCAGCACGATGGAAGGCCAGGATTATTTTGGTTACCTAAGAGACAAGGACACCATCAATCACTGGGATAGTCTACCATCATCAGCAGTGCACAAGACTAAGCACAAATGTGCAGCCCTCAAGTTTCCATGAAGAAAGTTGCTCTAAACTGTACATTACTATCTTGTTTATATTTCAGAATTGTGGATTGTGGTCACTCTTCATTGATGTATTTCTGACCCAATGTGTTTCATTACTGGCACAGTTTCCAGTTCCCCTAAAAGAGCATCATTAAACTGTAAAGGGAATACACAGACCAGATAGACCAGAACTACATTAGATCCAGGAAAATTAGGCAAAACCATATGACACTTTTACTGAGTGTGGTCTTTGACTAGACAACTAGAAAATTGTAAAGGACAAAGAAAACTGAGCTGGGAAGGAATTTCCATATGGGAATAACAAAACAGCCTAGCTGACATTACAGCCCAGTCTCACAGAGACAAGGTTAAGAACATACACTCTGGTGCTAGACTTCCTGGCTCAAGTCTTACTTGTGCTACTTACTGGTTCTGTGACTTCCAAGTGATTACTTAAGCACTCTGTGCTCTCTGTGTCTCAGCTTCCCATCTATAAAGTAGGGCCAGCAACAGGATCTACCTCATGGGGTTGTGAGGATCAAGTCTTACTCTGTATGATGAATGCTAGCTGGCATGGAGTAAGTTCTATATAAATATTAGCTGATTACTATTACCTGAATTTCATTGAGCCTAAAAAGCTTCAATGCTCATGCTTTCTTGCTCTTATAAGAGGACATCAACAGTAAGATTTTATGCAACCATGTCACAACTATCACCTGGCTGACAGCAATTATAAGATGCCATCAATTTAAGAAGCATCCCAGTATCTAAAGGTTTAAATGTGTAAAAGTTGTGCGCCATACTAGGATATTAGTAGTACTAGCAGTATTTTGTTAAGTAGAATCGTTAAGATGGTTCTTGTGATTCCCACCCCGTAGTATCCACTCCTTTGTGTAATCCCCTTCCCTTGAGTGCAGGCAGAACTGGGGCTTGTATCTAACCAACAGAATAAAGCAAAGGTGAAGGACTTTCCAGATGTAATTAAAGTCCCAACTTGACAGCTGACTTTTAACTAATCAAAAGGGCTAATATCCTGGGTGGCCTAACTTGATCAGGTGAGCTTTATAAAAGAGGAGAGAGGACTTTCCTAAAGGAAGAGGCTTATACAGGAGAGATGCTCTCCCATGGACCCTGAGAATCAAAAAGCCGCACTGAACAGCCTATGGAGTGGTGTGGCCTTTATGAACCTAGGGCCTCAGTGCTACAACTGCAAGGAACAGAAATCTGCTAACATGAATGAGCTTGAAAGCAACCAAGTTCCAGATGAGACTGCAGCCTGGCCAACACCTTGACTGCATCTTGTGAGATCCTAAGCAGGGGACCCAGTTATGATGTGCTTGGGAGATGACAAATGTATGTTGTTTTAAGTTGCTATGTTTGTGGGAGTGTTAATGCAACAACAGAAAACAAATACACTACTGAATCATTACTATAGGTGAGCTACTTCATGGATTGTTCTAGGTCCCATGAAAGGGGACTAATCTCAACTGAAAAACTTCAAAAACTACACTAAACCTAAGTCAGCAGATACCACCGTCACATGGACCAATTTATTACAAAAGTCTGGCTGCCTGTTTACAAAGCCCCAGTAGAAAGCCAACAGGGTGTGCTTACCTTGGCAAGGGCATCCTCCAGGGTCCCTGTCACATCCTGTGCCAGGGCCACAGGGCAACAGAGACGCAGATCATTGAAGGCGACCAGAATATTGTTGAGGAAGCAGGCAAGGGGTGGGAAGTCCAAGAGCACCATGGGTGGCTGTAGGGTCCCAGGCTGAGTGACTGGCATAGCAGCAGGCAAGTTACTGCTGCCCAGGATGACTGGAGCCGAGATGAGGGTATAGGAGTTCATTTCATCCTGGAACTTCTCCACTCCTTCCTGAATTGCTTTCTTGAAAGTGCTGATGGCCACTTGCTGGAAAACAGGAGCCAACTGGCCCCGGAAATCAGCCCCCACCCGGCTGAAGGAGAGCCCAAAGTACATGCACTGGCCCAGCAGAGAGTCCAGGCGGCCCCCTGTGCCCCGGTGAAGGTCGGTCTCCAGCACCTGTAGGAACTGCGAGACTTTCTGCAGCACCCAGCCATGGAAGATGGCACCCTCGTTCACAGTGTGCTCCCCCATGGCAGGGGGCAGCAACGGGTCCTCATCTGAGAAGATGGCACGGTACTGGGTGATGATATCAAACAGATGGACACGGCAAGCCTCAATGGTTTTTGTGATGTGGAAATAGGGATCATCATTGGGAATGGCAGTCAGGATGGAACGGAGCCAAGCATCTCGGGCCTGAAGAAACTTTACTCTGAGCTCGGCCTCAGTGAAGACATCCATACGCCGCAAGAAGCCAATGACACGGAGGCAGGCAGGGAGCTGGATGTGGGTCCTCAGTTGCTGGATGAGCTGGCTCAGCATCAGCTGCATGGCCTGGCGCACCTCACTTACAATGCCCTGGCAACACAGGGGTGAGTCACACCATGCTGCAGACACATTCCTTGGAACCCATTCCACTGAGCCTGAGTACTGCAGACCAACATTCCACTGCTTTCCTGACATATAAAGTAGATTTCCTAAAGCTGACAGGTACGGGTTCACCAGTAACGATGTGGTTCACCGTGGCCTACAGGCCCTGCCTCGTTCTCCTGCCTCACCTGCTTCCTAATGTCCCTTTGCTCACTGCAATCCAGTCACACTGGCTGTCTTTGTATTTCTTAAATACTCGTCAACCTCTTCCCCTCTTCCCTCCTCTGCCTGCTTTTCTTGCTCTGCCCACTTTCTGGTTTGCTCCTTATCTTCATGTTTTCTGGCTCTTTCTCATTAGCTGGGTCTTAGCTTAAGTGTCCTCTCTCCAGAAGCGCCTCTCCTGACTACCACTCTACCTGAAGTAACCCACCCTAGTCTTCTACACCATTTCCTGGTTTATTTTCTTAAGACACACTATCTGCAAGGATCATATCATTTATTCATTTATTTGCCAACTATCAGCTCACATTCATGAGAGCCAGGGCTTTGTCTGCTTTGTTCACATTGTAACCCTAGCATCTAGATCAGTGCCTAGCACATGATTAACACTGATCAGTTGAATGAATGAATGTATGTTTTTTGTTCAGGACTACCTGGCTGGCAGAAACCGATGTGAAACATGCAGGGAATTTCCCTAAGGTTTCTGCCTGAAGGTTCAGTGAAGACCACAGAATTACTGATTTTAACACCACCAGTATGAGTCCTTTCTGGGCAGTTGACTACCTGGATGGCAGGGATGGAGGAGTATTTCCTTTCCAGTCTGTGTACATAGGCTGCAAGCTCTAGGGCCTCTTCATAATAGTTGTTCCGGACACAGGTGTCCATGAGCTGAGGAATCTCCAGGATTTCCAGGATTTCTGTGTGCCGGTTTAACGTCAGGGTGTTCATTCGGCGGTTGGAGCTGATCTCCTCAGCCTCTTTCACAAAGTGCCTAGTGACAATTAGGAGAACGCTGGTCGCTCACTGCTCTGCACCCAAACCTTAGCTACAATTACCAAGCATTTACTATGAACTGGCATCAAGCGGGATGGTTCATCTGATTTAATCTTCACACTAAACCTATGAGGTAAGTATTACCCTTGAGGAAACTTTAATCCCAGAGAAGGTAAACAACTTGTCCAAGATCACACAACTAATAAAGGATAAAGATTTGAACCCAGATCTTCCACTCAACTAGTTAACTGTGGCAAGATACTTAGGCTCTCTGAACTGTTTCCCCATTGGTAAAATAGTAATAGGATCCACCTCATAAGGACATGAAGATTAAATGAAATGTGTGTAAAGACTTTAACACAGAATCTGATGGAGTCAATGTTCCATAATAGCTCTTTCTTACTATTTTCATTATCATTAACTAGCCTAGAAGCTACAGCCTTACCCCCAAGTCCTCTCAGCCTCTTAATCTTCATATTGTTCAACTTTAGTTCCTGACACACTCTCCAGTTCTGGGCAACTGCCAAGCCCTGCTTTAGGGAGATCCTGATCTACTGGGCGGGGGAAGGGTTCGGAAGCTATTGTCGAAGATCCACAGACTCAAAAAAAAAACATTTTCATCATGAAAGGCAGAATTAAGGATAATGGATTGAGGACTCAAAAGGAAGAATATGGCTCAAAAGAGGGATTTTTTTGATAATTTTTGCTGCCCCCAAATGGATTTGTCAGCTTCATATCATTTAAAGTTTTGGAGCAGATGATCTCCAGTACAAACTGTGTGTGTGTGTATATACATGTATATATATGTATATACACTTTTACACAGTTACATAAGCATGCACATATATTAAGATGACAATTGTAGTGTTAACAATGTCAGACCCGATGGTAAGTGCTTTGCATGGATTCTCTTTATTTGGTGCTATGAAGGAGGCACGTGCTGCTGGGTTCCAACTGTGACTTCAAAACTTACTAGCTGTGCCCTTGGACAGTCACTGATCTCTCTTCTGTCTCAACTTCCTCATACATAAAATGGGAAGAGCGGCACCTACCTCGAAGGCGGTTGCGAAGTTTAAATGGATTAATAAAATGCTCAGAGAGCCTGGCACATGGTAAGCGCTAAGTAAATGTTAGCTATTTCTATCCTCGTTCATCGCACATCATACAAGTATTACAGCTGTTGAAAGCCCCATTAGCGCCGGGCCCGCCACACCTGCAGCTCTGCTGGAAACTGGGCAAGCGGTCGAGCAGGCGGCCGAGAGAAGCCTCCACGTCGCCAAAGAGGCGGTGGATGCGCTCGGTGCACTCGGCGCCACGGATGAAGGTCTTGTAGTTGGCGAAGGCCAAGTCGCGCGTCTGCTGCAGCAGCTGCACCCGCTCCTCCGCCAGGCGCTCGGGCTCGCGCCGCAACCGCTCCAGCCCCGAGCCACTCAGCTCCCGGAGGTAGCGGCCCACATCGGGCCGCTCCCGCCACTGGGCCTCTGGGAAGCGGTCCCGGAACAGCGAAGCCAGGAGCCCTTCATCTTCCACCTCCCCGAGAGCGGCTGCGGTGACCGCCGCCGTGGCCGAGGCCGTAGTTGAAGATGGGATAGTCGCCGTCGCCGCCATCTTCTCGGCAGGAGTGTCCCTTCCCCTCCGGCCCAGAAGGGACGCCGGCTTCGAATCTGGGCGGGGAACCACCGGGGCGCACTTCCGATCTCTGTGGTTTCCTGTCGGGCCGCCTCTGTTCCCGACGGTCCTCCGGGCTACCGGGGCGCTAGCGTGAAGAAGGCCTGGAGAGCGGCTAGAGGGGCCGGCTGTGCGGTTGCCAGGGAGCGGCCGGCGACTGACTTCCGTTTCCGGCTGAAGCACGAGGGTCCGGCGTCCCTACCCAGCGGCAAAATGCGGCCTTTGACTGAAGAGGAGACCCGCGTAATGTTTGAGAAGATAGCAAAATAGTAAGCGCGCGCGAGGCGATGGAGGGAGTGTGCGTGGGGCGGGGCGGGCGCGGGTGGAGTGGGGCTGGGATGGGCCCGTTCGGGAGCGGCCTCCAGTCCTCCTTTCGCCTGCAGCATCCGGGAGAACCTTCAGCTGCTGGTGGACAGGCCCGACGGCACCTACTGCTTCAGGCTGCACAACGACCGGGTGTACTACGTGAGGTGAGGTGGTGCCGGTGGGCAGCTTGGACCCGGGTGGGGGGACTGGGGCCCAGCAACCTCCCTCATGTGACACCTCCTTCTCCCTTACACTAAACCCCGTTAGTGAGAAGATCCTGAAATTGGCCGCCAACGTCTCTGGGGACAAGCTGGTGTCGCTGGGGACCTGCTTCGGAAAATTCACCAAGACCCACAAATTCCGGTTGCACATCACGGCTCTCGATTACCTTGCGCCCTATGCCAAGGTTTGTGGGGTGGTTTCCAGGCTTGCCCAGGGGATGGAAGAAGTCAGGGACACAGATAATTGGGCAGCCTCTCTGCCACCGAGACCTTGACAGTGCTTGGGCCAGTGCCAGCACATGGAGACAGTTTGCAGGGCTTGCTGCTTGGGCTTACCGAGGATGTCTGAGGAGTTGTACCTATTTCCAGCAAAGTAGAAAAGTCTATGCGGACCCAGCTCAAAATCGAAAAACAAATGGGTGGCTGTGGTGAGGAGTATAAAACGGGGTCTAGAGAAAGAATTGTTAAACTGTCCGTGGGAGAAGTTTGTAGAGTTGAGGAGAGAACTACATTGCAGTTCTGTTAAGGGGGTGAATAATTTGAGGGAAACATGCATCTCTCTTTTCTTTAAAATTCTTCCAAGAAATTAATCACAGATCCAGCAGCTGTCTTATCTACAGAGATATAACTATTAGCATTTTAATGTCTATTGAATTTAATTTTCTTTCTTACAGTATAAAGTGTGGATAAAACCTGGAGCAGAGCAGTCCTTCCTGTATGGGAACCACGTGTTAAAATCTGGGCTAGGTCGAATCACTGAAAATACTTCTCAGTACCAGGGAGTGGTGGTGTACTCCATGGCTGACATCCCGTTGGTGAGTAGAGATGGTAGCTGTTAAAAAATCAAGTATCTTTTTACTTGAAGGATGTGTTTTCAGTCTGTGCGCCTGAGAGACTAAATTCTCAGCATCTTTTCAATTCCTCAGAGATAAGAACTATATTTTTTTCATCTTTGTTTCCAGCCCTCAGTGTGTGCTTACTGAATGACTTGAGTGAATTAGTGTCTCTTCTTTTGAATCCCAGGGTTTTGGGGTGGCAGCAAAGTCTACACAAGACTGCAGGAAAGTAGACCCCATGGCGATTGTGGTATTTCATCAAGCAGACATTGGGGAATATGTGCGGCACGAAGAGACATTGACTTAAAACGAAATCATCGCAAGGACTTATGGCCGTATGGAAGGGCCTAGCTTTGCTTCCTGTGTCTGTGTAGGCTCCACCATCATGTTGAATTTTGTCAACACTGTGACCTCTTCAGGGACTTCTTAGTTTAAAATTCTCTCTATTCTGGACGAATGCAGGCTGGATTCTTAAGAAATGGCTCAAAAATGGGGTTTCAGATCTTTGTGTTTGTGACTAAATAGAATACTGTGTTTTATATTTGGATTAGAGGGCTTCTTGTTTCGAGTAACAGGTTCTAAATTGTTGGAACTGAGGACAAGAATGGTTTATTGTTATCTGTGATAACACTTTTCCAAACCCATTATAAGAACACACAATGGATTTTCTTCATTATTAATTAATACTATGAAAGTTAGATATTGCCATATCACAGTAGTAGGCTGTGTGGGATATTGGATAAAATAATAAGAGCAGTTTATTTTGATTTTCTACACAGTAGGTGTGGAAGAAAAACTTGGATTCAAACCCCAGTTCTGATATCTACCAGCTGTATGGCCTTAGCCGAGTCATTAAACTTTAATAAGCTTCATTTTCTTCTTCTGTTTCAAAAAATAGCTTTGACCTTCCTACTTAAGGGTAGTTTTTAGAACTAGAAATCAGCTAGCACAGTGCTTAGCAAATGATAGGTGTTGAATAAATGCTAAGAATTATTTTTACATTGCATATACTGAGTACTTCTATTACTAAGAGTAGGATCTTAAGAGCATAACTTGATTATATTATATTGGTTTTTACAAGCTGTTTTTCTCAATCTTTCTTTTTTCTTGGATGGTATGATCCCAGGCTGAATGTTTTTTTCATCACCTTGATTTCCTAAAACAATTTCCCTTATGAACTTTTACTTGCCTGACTGGACTGAATAAAAAGCACTAACCAGAACACTGACATAATTCAGTCCTCCATCCGTCCCCACACCTTCCAAAATTATCTTTAGAATTATTAAAGTATACTCGTAAGTGGAAAAACATTTCACAAAAAATTTTTAAAGCTACTGTATTGTACAATTTAATGAAACTACTGCTTATTTTGAATTCCAAAAGTGACATCTCTAAAAAATAAAATATTTTTCACCTACAAAAAAGCACTCTGCCAACTCCTGTTTTTGTATGCAATGTATAAAACAGGGTTTTATATGTTTTTGTCCCCCCTTTTTAAACTCTTCTCCCTACCGAGGTTCTCTATTAAACCTCTAACTAGACTTAGTAAAGGCTAAGGATGCTATGTGATGAACAGTATTTTAATGGCAGAATTTAGTGTATACTTTAGAAATAGCCAACATCAAAATTTATACATTTTTATTTATTGCCAATTTGCCTTTGTAGGTGAGAGCAATAGACTAAAACTTTCTAACAAGAGAAACTGACTTTTTCCACCAGCTTATAAAGCTGTTTTGACCAAAGCTTTGACAAAGCTTCTGCCCCAGAAGGAAAGAGCAGGGTGTGTAGTTGTTGTAGCTTAGCATCTTGGCTTCTTTGTGTCTGTAGTCATTTGGACATTGAAGAGACGCTTCAGGAAATACAGCTGCAGGATCCCAGAGACAACGATAACAAGGCTCTGGGCCGTTGACCACCAGTTCACGTAGTTATAGTTTGATTGGAGAAGGAAAAAGTCAGCCATTTTCCTCATGCGAGCAAAGTTGTAGTATCGCCACATGTGGAAGATATTGCTCTGCACCTTACGTGTACTCTCCTGCAGGACGGAAAATAAAATAAGGGGGTCCTTCTACCCCCTATCTAGTCTCACCTGGGTGCTCACCAGCACTAACCCAAGTTCTCTGGAAGTTGAGTGACTTACTCATGATTTTATGATATGTAATAAGTTGCTGATAATGCTACTTTTGCTGTTTATGAAAAAGTAGCCTGGGCTTTAGAAAAAAGACAAAACTTTTATAAAGAAAAAGTTGAGCGCTGAAAATGAGAGCTCTTCCAGAGTATCTCTAGATTTAGACATGTACTCAGCATATCATTGCCCTGCCAATGGTGTTTTCCTGCTCTTTGTATATGGTAGAAGACAAGAACCTGCACATTTTTTGTTAAAAGGCCAGAAAGCAAATATTTTAGGCTTTGCAGGCATTGTAGTATCTGTTGCACCTACTGAGCTCTGCCATTGCAGCACTAAAGCAGCCATACACAATATGAAATTGTCAAATGAATGCAGCTGTGTTTAAGTAAAAGTTCATTTACAGAAACAGGCAGTAGGTTTTTGTGCATCAAGGAGACTATCAAAACAATGAAACAACATCCCACAGAATGGGAGAAAATATCTGCAAATCATTTATCTGATAAGGGACTTAGAGCCAGAATATTAAAACTCTTAGAACTCACCAATAAAAAGACAACTCAGTTTTAAAATGGGCAAAGGATTTGAATCGACAGTTCCCCAAAGACGACATACAAATGGCCAAAAGCATTTGAAAAGATACTCAATGTCATTTGCTTTTAGGTAGACACAGCGCAAAACCACAGTATACCACTTCGTACCCCCTAGGATAGTTAAAATAAAAGAGACAGTGATGTGTTACAAGGATGTAGAGAAAGTGCAATCCTCATATACTGCTGGTGGGAGTGTGAAATGGTTCAGCCACGGGAAAACAGTCCCTCACAAAGTTAAACTGAGTTACCATATATAACCCAGCAGCATACCACTTCTTGGTATGCAGAAAATAAAACATGTTGGTTCACACAAAACCTTGTATGCAAATATTCATAGCAGCAGCATTCATGAGAGCCCCAAAATGAAAATAACCCAGATGTCTGTCAGCTGATAAAGGGATAAAATGTGGTCTATCCATACAGTAGAATGTTATACTTTAAAAGGCATGAAGTACTAATACATGCTACAGTGTGACCACTGACAGAGGGAAAGAAGCCAGGCGAAAGGCCACACTATGATTCACGCCCATGGAATATACAGGACAAGCAGATTTATAGAGATAGAAAGTAGATTAGTGAGTTCCCAGGGCTGGGGGCCAAGGAGAATGGAAAATGACTAATGGGTATGGAGTTTCTTTTTGGGGTGATAGAATTAGATGCTGGTGATAGTTGCAGGACCTTGGGAATGTACCAAAACCACTGAATTTACACTTTAAAATAGTGAATTACATAAAAAAAAACAGGCAGTGGGCCATATTTGGCCTCTGAGCCATGGTTTGCCAACCCCTGGTATAAAACAAGTGAGGAGAATTTCAAGAGCTCTGAGTCATAAAAAGTAAAGGCTTCAAATCCCCTTGCCTGTTTGGTTTCTCCTCAAGTAAGCTTTTGCACATGATATTACTCCCATAACTTTAATCTTTCCTCCAAATTTAAAATCAGTTTCCATGGATGTTTGTCTCCCCCAGAATAATTACCTCAATTGCGTCCAGAGTATCATTCAGCTGTTTTCGTTCACTCTTCTGTTTGTGGTCCATCTCGGGCCCCTCATAGAAGACTCCAAAGTTGAGGTACACTTGCACAGAACCAAAGTGATTTTGCTGATTGTTTAGACAAAGCTGATAAAAACCTGTAGGAATCCCTAGATCATTACCAAGTTTTGGTTTCCCACCCACCGTTGATCTCCCACCCTCTTAGGAGTTACCCGTTCTCCCTGTTAAGTGTGCTACTGCAGCACTGTCCATGTGCTCAGGAAGTACAAAGGTCCAATTTTAATGTGGAAGACACTAATCTTACATGAAACTTGTCTTTCCAAATATTACCATAATTACTGTGTTTTGCCAAATACTAGTAACTTAAGTTCTGTACTGGACAGAAAAGAATGTTTCTCCTTTTTCACCCTATAATCTCCACGTCTCTTATTCAAAAGAACTTTCTGCTCAAGAAAATGAGTTGAAATGAAGACCATAGTATCTGCCTGCTGCTGTACACCCTTAGAACTGGGGGAATGCCATCTTGAATTGAAACTAGGAGAAAATTTGATATATTACTGAATGAAAGAAGCTATTCTGGAGGAGTACCTTCCTGCAAGGTGATTTGTTCAGGGACAGATAATTTGGCGTATGTCTGGTGCTTATTTTCAACTGGGTCACCTCCCTTGGTGTGTGGGCGTAAACTGGAATTAGGTGTGGCAATGTATTTGATTATGAAAATGATTGGAAGGCACTACTGGCATGTAGGGGCCAACGATGCTAAATGTCCTGTATTGCTGAATATCCTGTGCTACTTGTCTTTTGTATACCTGGCTGGTAGAAAGTCAGTTAAAACTGACTGTTGTTGTCCGGGCTGGGGACAGGCTTGATCTGGCTGTAGGAATTTTTGTGATTGGAGAAATGTTTTGCTGTGGAATGTGGATATATTTCATGGCCATGCATTTCCTTTTGTTTTGAGTCTGCTTTTTGTTAACTGGCTCGAGTACTGTGATGACTGGAAAGAAATGCTGTCCCATAATAAAGTTGTTGATTGGCATTTTGTATTATAAATGGGTCTCTCTGTTTTGGTCACTTTCGCATAGTCTGGTCACTTGGAGATGATGAGATAAATTGAGTTTCTGGTCCCTGGAGTTAAAATAGTTAAGTCACCTGGAGACTCTACCCCCAGACTGCCAGTGGACAACTGCTTAATGTCCTTGGCCACTGGAAGTCTCCAGGAAAACAGTTGCGGTGTTGAAGGCCAATTTTTTTTCCTACTCTTGCACCATCCCTGTGTGAAAAAGCCAGGGCTTCACATCTTAGGTACTTATCTCAGTACTCTCTCATTATTTCCCCAGTTTCAAAGAAACCTGTGATGATTATAGTCGCTGTGGCCATAAAAACAGACCTGTCTCTTGGGTAGAGAAGTTAATCTGGCCTCGAACATTCCGAGAGGTGTCTATGAGAAGACCCTGTGGGGTATGTGCGGTGGCAGCAATATGCCGGTCGTGTGACATTCCCAGTGTGCGCTGAACCTGCCGAGACACGTTAGGGAGGGAGAAGAGCCCCTGCTGCTCGCCGAGAAGCTCCCTGATGATCCCCTGATCATCGGCACAGAGGTTCGCAGCCAGGGATGGCACTGCCCACCTCCTTCTGGGAGTTTGGATGAGAAACCATGGTGCTGGGCGGGAGGGAGATACAGCAGTGCTGAGCGTCCTGCCATGTTAGTAGCAATATTGTAGGATAAAGAATTGCCCAAAATGCCAATAGCACTGTTGGTAAGAAGACATGGCTCAGACCATATAGCAGGTGAGTATCAGTTGGTATGTGTGATTCTGGCTCTTGAGTTCTTACTGAACTTGCTTGGTTTTGACCTCTCCGGTCGTGCCCAGACTTGGGCTTATTTGATGCTGTCATGGTCAAATAAGTAAGGTAGTTAACAGGCACTTGTCCTCAAGGTGCACTTTGGTTAAGCACAGTGAGCTGACTAGTAGCTACAGTTCTGTCATAAATTCAGAGATAAGAAAGGGCTGTGATAAGTTAATTTAAAATAAGTCTTAAGTTACAGTGAAGTAAATTCAAGATAGCCTATTACTGTGTAAACAAAAATTAGAAAGTTAACAAGCTTTTAAGATAAAGAACAAAGGAAACAGCCTCTAACTTTACTATTGAGCCCACCATCCTTGAACACTGGCATGAGACAGAGGCTGGATGAAAGTACCTGGCCTGTGAACAGACAACCCGAAAACATTGCCTTCCTAAAAGAAACAGGACCATCTGGCTGAAAAGAGAAATCTTAAGCCGGTAACTCTCCAGTTTGCCAGAGAAGGCAAGAGAGTAAGTGTTGCTCCTCCAACCCTGTTAATTGAAGCATCTTTCTTTGAAATCTCTAGGCCTTTCTCCAAACTTCATGTTACTTTTCATTCAACTTTGTACCATGTTTTAGTATTTTTTAAATGTATTCTCCCAATCCAAATAAGTGTGATTAATTACCTCCCCAGGAAGAGGCAACCTGTTTGTCCCATCGCTTTGAGCGTACCTCCGCAGCCCTCCGTTTGAGAAGCCAAGCCATATGTTTCAGTGATTATTCATCCATTGTATTTCCATCTAACTGCAGATCTGCTCTTCATTTAACAGGTAGGGAATCATAGAATAATAGACAACCAGAACCTTGTGTTCATCTAAAACTTGACTCTTTTCAAAAGGAAACAAACAAAAACAAGTCCCCAGTATGGCCAGCAGAGTCCACGTACCCACCTCATAACTGAAAAAGAAGTATCCCGTCTGGTGGGCGAATTGCCAAAAGCATTCTGTGCCTCCTGGAGGGATCATGATGGCAAAGTCATTTTGATCTGCTCCACGGAAGAGCAGCTGGTCCCCAGAGCCACTAAGGGGTTCTGTCTTCTGGCTCCTAGCAGAGGTCACTAGGTTCAGAACCACCAGTCCAGCCCCAAAGAACAAAGGAAACATGGTGCTTTCTGGAGACTCCTTTGCATGTGAACTATGCAGCCCAGAGGAACCAAGTAGCTTAGACTGCTGGGTAATCATTAACTCTACCAGCCACACAGGCCATCTCAGGGTCACACACAGATATTCCCTAACAGAACCGGGCATGATAGGCCCATGTTTGGCTTACAGGAAGTTTTTGCTTTCACCTCAAAAACTTACCAAACTTACTTCACGAGTGCCAAATGGAATCTACTTCAGAAGAGGTAGTTACATCCCTTTCTTTGGGCTGTCATCTTGCTTCTTGGGGATAAACACTGGGGAAGTTTATAATCTTCTGACACAGATTAGCTGGGAAGATTTTTCCCTTTCTTATCAAATTGCTAGATTGATATCTATTGCTCCTGTAAGACACACAGAGCAACACCTGTTTCAGTGGACTTGTGCCCAGTGCTACAGCTTAGAGAGCAAAGTACAGCATTGAAGTGTGTGCAAAAAATTTTAATGGATGAATAGTGAGCAAGAGACAGTGATGATAACCCTCATCTGGTGCCTTCCACCTGATAAAGTCATCTAAACGTATCCAAAACCTGCTTAAAAGAAGATTTTATTGTTCAAACCCCAGAAATTCTTTCTGACTTCTTCAGCATCCAGAGGGAAAAAGGCTCATTGAACACCCACTGTCTTCACGGTTAGCATGGAGCAAAGAACGCTACCTCCCTCTTATTTATTCTCACAACAGTCCTACAAGGGAGATGCCATTACTGCTGCAATGGAGATGAGGAAATGGACATTCAGAGATTGCAGTGGCCGGCTCAGCACCCACAAGCACCACTGTGGGATGGCCAGAGCCCTGAGTGGGCCTTGCAGTCTTACCTACCAGGATGGTGTTTCTGTCAGTCTCTGAGTTATGACAATGTCTCAGTGTTTTTATTTCAGCCATCATCTTAAAAACAAACTAGCATTAGCACATTCTAACCAAGTATTGCTTCAGAACTCAACACACTGACTCCAAGTGCTAATACTTTAACTGTCACTAGCTAAAAAGCAAAGAACAAACTTCATAATTGTGTTGAGTTCTAGAGAAGACCAAGTGACATCGTAGTGCTCTGGAGGCATGGTGGCTCTACAGTAGTCTTGCTGAGATGGAGGTGGGAGAGATTGTGATCACTTCTCAGTACACAGTGGCACGGGCACCCCACCTGAATCCTACCACCACCACAGACCTAACACTGTTCATGTCATAAGCAGTGACAGAGTCAACAAAACAGTTATCAGTTCAGAGTGAAGTTTTATAGAATCTGTAGGCATGTTTGTGCATACTTCAGTAACACTGAAACATAATAAAAATAACACTGAAGTTATGTTAAAAAATATTAATGGGCCCATGGATTTCTCAAGTTTGAGAAACCTTGATGAGGATAATTTGCTTCTCTAAACGTATCACGATGTCACTCTTCTGCCAGACAGCACCATCTAAGGTAAGGATGTGAAAGTTGAAGGGAGAAAAGTTTCTGGATCCTAATCCCGTTTGGAGGGAGACCACAACTAGCTACAGCCAGATCAAGAGGAGATCAAGTCCTCATCTTCTCGGAGTAGTTGCATTTGGGATTAACTGATTGAAGAAAAATTGGTAGTACCAAACCCCAAAACATGCAGTTAATAGTTAATAAAGCCATCCACAAAGTTTCCAAATGGTAACTACAGGATGAATTTTAAACCTTTCGCATTTCTTAACACCTTGCCTTTCACTCACTCAAAAGTGAGAAAGGGGAAATCCTTTGTCCCTGGAAAAATGTTCTATGAAGAAATGGACAAATTAAAAGGAAACTTTCACATCTCTGTTTAACATAGCTTCTGAGGATTAGAATATCCATAGTTTGACATCAGCTTCTTAACATAGTTCAAAGCTCATTCAACATTTGGCTGTCTCCATCTATTCATACATTCTTTGCTGCAATTAAACAGCTACTTAAACTTGAGAGAAGCAAGACTTTAATGAAGAATGCTACAAGTTATGGACATAGTTCTCATATTTTAAAAAAAGATTACAGAAAACACTTTACTGAAATTTTTTTTTCATTTTTTTCTTTTTTTGCTAAAAAGACAATCTTTAAGGATGTCCAGGAGAGACAGCAAGCACAACACAGTACAAAAGGAAAAGGGAATGTTGAATTTCAGTGCAAGACACTAACACAGCACAATTGGGAAATTAGGCAGAAGCAACCATTTCACAAAGAATGGAATTAGGTATTTATATTCAATCAGGATTTTTTTAAGCTTTAAAAGTCCAGCATAAGGCAGGGAACTGAGAAGAGAGTATGGGGGAGGGGCTAAGCTTATCTATAATCACTGTTTCACTAAAAAACACACTGGTTCAACCACATAAGTAGTGGAGGTTAAACCTGCCTACACAGCCCAGCAATCAAGAGCAGATGCCAAGGCAGTCGAGGCGAAGTGTCGGCGTCACGACCGGCTAGACAGTTTCTAAAGGTCTCTCATCAGCCTGGGCTCATGACATGAAGTTCCTCTGCATTTGTATCAGAAGGCCAAAGCTTCACCAGGAACAAGTTCACTCCAAATAATGTTCGTGTTGCTGGTTTTAACAGGTCATGGAGTCATAAGTGGCTCCTAACAGACTCCACCATTTTCTAGGAGAAGGTTCTACTGATTACTGGGGATTTAAATTCAAGCAAACCACTAAAGAAGGGAAATACTAATGATATTCTGGCACTGTACAAGCTATGTGCCTGTCATCCCTGCCAAGACCATGGGTGGACTTGGCTTTGTTTCTCAGCTCCATGATCTCCTACAGTGATGGAGTGGAACTGGGGCCTCCCCCATTTCGGAGGAGGATGCCCAAAATTCTCATTCCAGCCCAGCTTCTGAAAGAAACAGCAGACTATCAGGGACTGTTATTAGGAACCATGCTCCTGTGAATTATGTGGAAATGAGAGCCTGTTTCAGTTGATGCCAAGTCTTTTCATGGTCCGCCAGCGATCCTTAATCATCACAGCTGTTCGGTTAACAAACGGGTAATTTTTAGAAATGGCAGCCCAGTTTCCTTCCCCGTACTTCTGCACTCCAGCCTTGACCCACTCGCTTTCTTCTACGGTCCACTTCTGCAAAAGAAACCAAAAGATTTATCACAACCTGTCTCTCACAATTTCATAGAGTGAAGAGGTAAACTCAAGGGACCCATCAGAATAATCTGAACCCAAAGGAAGGGTTTATATTTTTAAAACATTATACAGATAAATTAACACCAGATTTGGACATTTAATAATTTTCAGTTTCCTGCCATTTCATCTGCAACTAATTAGCATTCAAAGTTTCAAATGTGTGCTGTTCATGGTCAGGAAAATGTGTTGAGCTTCTGTACTCCTAGATTTTTCTCCCAGAGAATAACAATGACTTGATGCTTAGTTTGAATTGAAACAGAGTTACCTGAAAATTGCAAAAAATATTTTTACCAGGTGCAAATATAGTCTATGATGAAAAGTAAGAACTTATTTAACCTCTGTTCTACCCAAACAACCAGAAAAGATCAGAAAAGAGAATTTTTAATTACCTGCTTTCTTGATATATTTGTTGTACTCTCTTCATCTGGTGCTGCTGGAAGACAGTTAAGGTAGACTCATTTTAGAGTTCAACTTTCTCTACACAAACCACAAGAAAAAGACATCAAATGTCCCTAAAGGGAAAACCTGATTCAAATTTCACAAACTTTTTGAGACATGACAGGACATCACTGAAGGATAATTTGTTTTTGTTCTTTCTTTGCAAGATATCAGTCATTTCAGCCCGTTAGAATCTATACAAAGCAAGGACCTTACAAACAGGCATTTGGTAAATGTTGGTTAGTGATGAATTTTGGGCTTAGTAAAACATGATTTTCTAAAATTACTGACTGTGGTATTTAAAACCCCTAACATATATACATACACACATACACATATACTTGTAAGTATGTATATATACTTACACAAACACTATATATGTAAAATTTCTTCTTTATAACTCCTTGCTATTAAACATTGCTTTGAAACAACACAGTTTTGCCAGAATTTTCAAATCCCTGTCATTTTATAAAAGTAAAATTTGGTTCACTTCCTTAAAAGACCAGGGTAATAATTATTACTTCCCACACCTACAGACCATGTGAGATGTGCTCTAACTCCACTCACCATATACAAAGAGAGCAGGTCTCAAAAAACATGCATCAAGATCATGTCTTAAGGGGCTAGAGGGTTATAGGACTGTGTACAAGTATTAAAGACATGCCATTTCAAGCCAACAAGATCCAGTTAAAAAGCTGCAAGAAAAGGCAACGTTGCATGAACATGAAATTGCTACAGCATCTACCTCAGCATATGCTACTATCCTGGCATGCTTCCCAAACAGTGGGGGAAGTCGCTCAGGAAAAGGGGTACTTCTGGGGGCATATTATTTATTTTTAAATTAACAAGTATTTCATACTGTAGTGGAAGCAGGTTTCTAAAGCTGGCAAATCTGGACTGCATTGGAAGTAGATGTTTTCTAGAACTTTTCTATTCTGTTCTTTTAAAATATCTAATACCACTTTTATTGATTTTCTGTTACTTCCCCCATTTTCCAACTATGTTTTTGCTAATGAAGGTACTTTTTAAGGTCACATCTTTGGGACTGGCAAAGGATTACTGTTGTGTTACAGATATCTTTAGAATCTCCAAGATCAAGGTTTAGCATTTAGATATTAATGCAAATGTTATGAAATTTAGTATTAATTACAGAAAAGTAAAGTTCCTCTTCTTAGAAAAAACATTTATTTAGAGAAACTGGTCAGAGAGATATTTTTTTACTTAAGAAATGCAGAGAATGACCACTTCTACCTTTTCTAATGAAAAGACTTGGAAGAACATCAGCTGCAATGAAATACAGGATTTAGTCAAACAAACCCAGCAATTTTCTTTAAATAGAAAGTGCTGCTTTGACAGTCTCCATTGTTTAATGGGAAAAAGCATAAAACTTATTCCTTATGAATCACAATGAGGAACTTAATAAACCTTTTCTAGTATGGAGACAAGCAGTTTCTGGAACATTGTTTTGAAAGTAACATGCATCTACACTTCAGCAAGCACCAAGGAGAGACCAAGGAGAATCTCCTAGCTTACCCTGCACTTGAAACAGTTCATCCTCTTCCACCCAAGTTTCTTTTTCTTCAACCCCATTAGGGCTGTTCCACTTGCCTTTGGGTAATCTGAGGGGAGATCAACAAGAGGACAGGATGTGAACAGACTGATCCAGGGTCATGCCATCCCTGTTGCTGGCTCACTCGTGGCTGTGTACTCCTCCTCCTGTTGTGACCACATTCGAGATCCGCCTACACACAATTCCCAAATCCTGGCCTGGACAGGCATCTCCATGTCAACATCCCCAGGCTGCACATCATCCCTCAAACTCAGCACTGAATCCCCCTCAAAATCTGTTCATTTTCCTGGTTTCTTTGTTTGGTTTGGTTTTGGCTCTTTCAAAGGTCTCATCATTCTTCTAGCCTGGAAGGTGCAAACTCCTCCCTCTCCTTCACCAACCTGCCCAATTCCTTTCTCTTGACTGTTCTTCATTCCCTGAGTCCAAACCCATGGAACCTTTGACCAGCGTTACACTAGCCTCTTAACTGGAGCCTCTGCCCCAGGCCCCTTCCCCTTCCAAAGCCATCTGAACAACTGTCCTAAAATTGTCATCTTCCTCCTCTATTCCATGATAGCGTCTCACTGCCTAAACAGTGACACCTGTGAGGGAATCAGGACCATCCATTTTGGCTCCAGTCAATTTCTCACCACCAGTGCCTCCCCCCTGACCCTCACTAGCACAAACAGCAGAGCCATGCCCTCTGCTCTGCCTTCCTCCTGTAAGCTCTGTACTCTTCTGCCTTTCTATTTACAGTTCAGTTCCTTC